TCACGCACTACACGCGATTCGTACCATACATGTTTGAATACACACATGCTGCATTGTACGTGTGCATATGCAAAGTTTGTGCAAAGCTTACCGAAAGTTCGTTGCGCAGTTGCAGACTACGCGATCAAAGTCTGACAATGTTTGCATTTTTTTCCTTTGCAAAGATTCTTTGCGTTCTGCACAAAATTAGGGTTTTGCTGTCTGGAATTTCTTAGATTTGTATCTGCCTCAATTTGTGATCAGACATCTATTTACATGCGTATCGGCCTGTTCACTGGGAGATCTCAAGTCGCGTCTCTCACCACTAGTACTGAGGTTGTTTATCATACATCTCCAACCTGCATTACGACTGTGGTATATCTGATATATGCTAGCGCTGGATCAGTTCTCAGCTGTCTGAATAAATTCAATATCTATGAATGCAGTGTCACTGCAGTCAGCAGTCACCTCAATAGTTTGACACGGTCAAGCACATTTGTAATACGGCCAATAGCCATCGTGTGTTAACTACTGTCGGGTCATGGTCAGTCCTGATATGGAATATGGTTTTGTTGTTCTTACCAAGCGGACAGCTAAACGGACTGATTTAAATTCCTGAGCAACTTCCATCATGGCGGACTCGACTGGTAGCCGCCCAAGCGAACTATGTAGCACCAAAGAAGCCATGAATGCCAGGGACCCTTTCGAGGTCATATTTTGCGTCTGATGGAGTGGCAATGGGACCGCCGTGGCAAAGAACTATGAGTTCTGGTTTGATCTTCACAGCTGCATCCAGAATCCTCTTGATACCACGCAATCATCGAGGGCCAACGCAGTTTTGACACCAATAGTACCGCTCGTCGTGAGGCCCATATGAGCTACGACAACATCAGCCTCCGCCCTGCCTCATCCGCGTTGAAGACGTATGGAGTCGTCGGCAGATCGAATTCGTGTGCCATTCGGATCATTTCAACCTCCTTCTCATAGCTTATTCCTGTTTCCTCCAGGTTCTGTCGAAATACACCGTCAATGAGGCCAACTGTAGGGAAGTTCTAGACTTCGGTGAAACTCAAGTCCTTGATACGCCTGACTATTGCAGTCAGCATGTTTGGCTTGACCACTCTCTGTGCAGGTAGCTAGCTGGAGGAGCTGTGATGCCCTGTAGTGACATTCCATGCCACAGGTGCTGGGGGTTTAGCAATGGAGAGACTCGTCCGCGAGGGCCACTTTGTTGGGGGCTTTGACATCACCACCACTGAACTAGCGGATGAATTAACGGGCGGCGCACTCACTTCTGGTCCTCATCGCCTTGAGGCAGCAGCAAGATGTGGTATTCCACAGACGGTGTCGGTGGGAGCCCTTCAGATCGGCGGACACCATTGCGAAACAGTTCCAGGGGCGACTATTCTATCACAAACCAGATGGATTCATTGCAATTTGGAGGTCGTCAAAAAGACATACATCGATCTCCCAACAGCCGCCCCCAGATTCCCCTGACGACGCCCGACCGTAACTTGAAGCTTGCAATATATGTGCAAATATGTAAACGCCATCGACCCAGAGCCGTACGGTCGTGAGTTCGACAAATAGAACTCGACTTGAAGCTATATATTGGTTGTAGTCCTATATTTCTGTCTGAACTTATCGGCGGTGTTTCGGCTGTCTGAACTTTGGAAGAGAAATTATCTTCAAACCCGTGACTCATTTGAAACGAGCACTATATGGATGTACTGCATGATATTCTGGAGGATGAAGCATACCACGAGTCCACCGAGTTGCTGTACATGTATTCTTTGACATAGACTGGGGACCAGCCCGTCCCGTCTATCTTTGACAGGCGGAATGTGAAAATATCGTTCGATTGCCTAAGATGACATCGGCTTATCGGCACAAGAAGGTTGAGACGCTTCTAAATCCTACAGAAAGTCATCGATTCATCCATTATGAGGAACGTTTGCTGGTGCCGAGGGCGGAGCTTTGGACGGAAGTTGAATTTCGCACGTTTGGGAATAAGTGTGTCGGGTAAGTATTTCTCGCAACCTTACATCTGTCGCCGTCGTCGTCGTCGTCGTTCACCAGAATGCTTACCACCCGCGGCGTCACCCGCCTCTCACGGAGAGCGGCCAACAGTGCAAAAAACACAAGCCGGTTCATTAACACCGCTGCTTATTCTTTGTCGCGTGTTGCCGTTCCTTCTTCCTCCCAAAAACAAAACACAGCTGTTCGTCCGCGTGCATCAGCGCAGTATGGTCAGTTTCAAGTCTGGGATTGTTATCTCTACTACTTACTGAGTTTTTCTCGCTTTTTTCGCGTCATTCTACTTGAACCGGATGAACTCGGGTTATAGCACGGACATATGCAACGGAAGCGAAGGGAGCTGCTGGGACTGTGAAAACCGTCATTGGTGCCGTCGTCGACGTTCAGTTTGAGACCGATGCTCTTCCACCTATTCTCAACGCACTGGAGGTTCAGGACTTCCACGGTGGTCGTCTTGTCCTCGAGGTCGCATCGCATCTCGGCGAGAACTCCGTCCGTACCATCGCTATGGACGGTACCGAGGGTCTCGTCCGTGGCCAAAGGGTAGTCGACACCGGTGCTCCTATTCAAATTCCTGTCGGCACCGCAACTCTCGGCCGCATCATGAACGTCATCGGTGAGCCCATCGATGAGCGTGGACCTATAAAGGGTGTCAAACTCTCGCCAATTCACGCCGACCCTCCTCCATTTGTTGACCAATCAACCACTGCTGAGGTTCTGGAGACTGGTATCAAGGTCGTCGACCTTCTTGCTCCTTACGCCCGTGGTGGTAAAATTGGTCTTTTCGGTGGTGCTGGTGTCGGTAAGACTGTGTTGATTCAAGAGCTTATCAACAATGTTGCCAAAGCCCATGGTGGTTTCTCCATTTTCTGCGGTTGGTTAAACTTGATTTTTTTTTCCGGTCGGATCAGGACCTTATTTCCTTTATTCAATAGGTGTTGGCGAACGTACTCGCGAGGGTAACGATTTGTACCATGAAATGATTGAGACTGGTGTTATCAACCTCGAGGGTGACTCCAAGGTGGCTCTCGTCTTTGGTCAAATGAACGAGCCCCCTGGTGCACGTGCTCGTGTGGCGCTTACTGGCCTCACTATCGCTGAGTACTTCCGTGACGAAGAAGGCCAGGATGTGCTACTCTTCATCGACAACATCTTCCGCTTCACTCAGGCTGGTTCCGAAGTGTCTGCTCTGCTCGGTCGTATCCCCTCCGCCGTCGGTTACCAACCTACACTCTCGACTGACATGGGTGGCATGTATGTGCACTAGTGTGTTCATTGTAGTATTGATTTGACCTTCAATGTAGGCAAGAGCGTATTACTACCACTAAGAAGGGTTCAATCACTTCAGTGCAAGCCGTCTACGTGCCCGCTGATGATTTGACTGATCCTGCTCCTGCCACCACTTTCGCTCACTTGGACGCTACCACTGTGCTGTCGCGTGGTATTGCCGAGCTTGGTATCTATCCCGCTGTCGACCCCCTCGACTCCAAATCACGTATGCTTGACCCTCGTATTGTTGGTCAAGAACATTACGAGGTTGCAACCGCCGTTCAGAAGATTCTTCAGGACTACAAGTCTCTACAGGATATTATTGCCATTCTGGGTATGGATGAGTTGTCAGAAGAAGACAAGTTAACGGTCGGTGATACAAAGACAAAAGTAATGCTGAATGCTAATGCAGACTAGGTCGAGCGTGCTCGTAAGATTCAGCGTTTCATGTCGCAACCCTTCCAGGTTGCACAGGTCTTTACGGGTTACGAAGGCAAGCTCGTACCTTTGAAGGACACCATCCGCTCTTTCAAGGAGATTCTCGCTGGTACACACGATAACCTGCCTGAGTCTGCATTCTACATGGTACGCACACATACATACATTTGACGTGGAATTTGTTGACGCGTTGAACAGGCCGGCACAATCGAGGATGTCAAATCCAAGGCTGAGCAGCTCGCCAAGGAGATAAGTGGTAACTAGATAAGACATATGTACTCGCTCTACTTATTCGTCTATTGCTGCTATCCACGTAGAATAGAGCTAGTCCATGGATTAAAGATATCATCTCCATATTGCGCTTCCAGCAGGATGTGTGCAGTGCTTTACTTTGTTTCTATAGCTTAGGCTTTAGGGTTTGTAATGAGTTTGTGCATGTCAGTGTACTAGGATAGGACGGTACGCCCAGCTCGGTGGTGGATTAACACTAAGCATGTAGGACCAGGTATTTTTGCCCTGAAGGCTCGTGCATTTCATTGGATCCATCAACCATATGCTTGCGGTGCGTCACGGTAGTGTGGACGCGTGACTCGGGCTCGAAATGGTCGCCAACGCGCTATCATCAACATTAAACACCTCAATGCCCAAACCCAACTTCTGATAACACTCCATGTTCAACTCAGCCTACCACAAACCACCTTGGAGATGGACTGCATACATTACAGCATACCCTGACCAAGGCTGTTGAGTCTCGGATAGAAGTGCGGACTCGGAGGAAACAAGTGGATGATTAGATAGGAAGATGCGAAGGAGTAGAGTCTGGTTGTGCTCGGTATTCGAGAGCGCTGGGCACCCATACTAAAGTTGCTGGATCGCTCAGCGATCTGAAAGGTGAGAAGGCCTTGCCAAGGAGATATGAAAACGCCACGTGCTGCGTACCAGGAGAAACTATGACAGGTCAGTAAGATCCTTTGGACGCGTGATCTACTGAGATGACAGTCTCTTAGATCTATTAGTATCATACGAAACTCGAGCAACTTACAACGTATTTGTGCAGATTCAACAGCATACTAGCAGATTTATGTTCACATCGATAACACACGGTTATGATCAGTAGTAGACAAATGTTCTGGAGCCAGGTTCACGCACATTTCTTCTTTTTGACGGTCTGAAAGGAGTGCCATTCTGACTTCGAAAATTTGTGGGCCACTTGAACGCACCCGAGCTAAAAGCTATGGGATACAAGGTGACATGTCAACAGATGCTTGTCACTAGTAGTACTAGTAGTACACTTGACAAGTCACCGGTCACCAGTGGCTTAGGCTTGTTTTACCTTGTTGATTTCACAAGTCATGAGTGCTGGACCATTTCTCAGCTGCTCCAAGAAATTCAATATCTATTAGTGCCAGTGCTACTGCAGGCATCCCCTGTAAGCAGCCACCTCGATAGTTCGACAACGGTCTAGCGTATCTATAACACGGTCATCGTATGTTTTACTGTCGGATCATGGTCAGTCCTGATACTCGAATATGATTTCGTTATTCTTACCAGACGGGAAGGTAAACCGATTGCTTTAAATTCCCGAGCAACTTCCTTCATGGCGGACTCGACTGGCAGCCGCTCGAGCGAACTAGCACCAAAGAAGCCATGAATGCCCGGAACCCTTTCAATGACATATTTTGCGTCTGGTGGGGTGGCAATGGGACCGCCGTGGCAAAGAACTATGATTTCTGGTTTGATCTTCGCAGCTGCGTCCAGAATCCTCTTGATCTGGACCACGCAATCATCGAGGGCCAACGCAGTTTTGGCACCAATGGTACCGCTCGTCGTGAGGCCCATATGAGCTACGATGACATCAGCTCCCGCCCTCGCCATTCGTTCGGCCTCGTCCACGTTGAAGACGTATGGTGTCGTCAGCAAATCGAGTTCGTGTGCCATTTGGATCATTTCAACCTCCTTCTCATAACTCATTCCTGTTTCCTCCAGGTTCTGTCGAAATACACCATCAATGAGGCCAACTGTAGGGAAGTTCTGGACTCCGGTAAAGCCCAGGTCTTTGACTTCCTTCAGCAGCTGTGGCATATCCCGAAATGGGTCCGTTCCGCATATCCCTGCTAAGACTGCCGTATCTTTCACGATGGTCAGAGTCTCACGGGCCATTTCTAGCATGATGGCATTCGCGTCGCCGTAAGGCATCAGACCCTAAACAATCAATCAGCTGGCTTTCTGCGGAGATAGAGACTACGCACTGCCAAGGACCCTCTGCCAGCCATCCGATAACGACCCGAGTTGTATAGGATAATGAGGTCAATTCCTCCCGCCTCCTGTATCTTTGCACTTAGCCCAACCCCTGCACCTCCGCCCACAATCGCCACCCCTCGGTTGATGTTATCCCTCAACCGCTTTAGCACCTGCTGTCGTTTCGACGTCACTTTCTCCGTCATTATGGACCTCTGACGAGAATAGTGCCCCGCATTTTTCCACGAGTAAAACGAGCTCCATCTCGCATCCACATGTATGACATAATCCGGGACGGCACCCAGGCTCGTACTAAAGCGTGTTATGCCAGCTTTCAAAGATCTCCCAGACCCTGATCTACGTCAACGATGCTACCCACTGTCGCAGTTATAGGTACCTGCGACACCAAGTTAGAGGCTCTTCTCTTCCTTAAACGCACTATTCAGTCAACTGCCGTCTGCGATGCTATCCTGATCGACATCGGGTCATATCATCCGTCTGATTTGCGGGACATCGACATTCTCCGCTCAGATGTATTGAAAGAACGTACAACCATTGTTCATGATGCACCTTCCCGCGGAGAAACCCTGGAGACCATGACCATCGCCTTAACGCAGCTTCTAGCACGTTTACACTCAACTCAGAGTATTGCAGGAGTCATCGGGGCGGGAGGCTCGGGTAATACGAGCGTCTGCACGAAAGCGTTCCGAGATGCCCTACCCATTGGCTTTCCTAAGCTGATGGTATCCACTATGGCGTCGGGGAACGTTGCCCACTATGTGGGTGAAACGGATATCACAATGATGCATTCTGTCGTCGACGTCGCCGGCATGAACCCAATATTAGAAGTCATCCTAGGAAATGCAGCACATGCTATCTCAGGGATGGCGAAACGTTCTCTTATTCGTGTGGATTTGAAGTCATCACGCCCGACTATTGCAGTCAGCATGTTTGGCTTGACCACTCCCTGTGTGCAGGTAGCTACCCAGAAGCTGGAGGAGCTGGGGTACTCTGTAGTGGCATTCCATGCCACAGGGGCTGGAGGATTAGCAATGGAGAGACTCGTCCGCGAGGGCCGCTTTGTTGGGGTCCTTGACATCACCACTACTGAGCTTGCGGATGAACTAGTGGGTGGCGTACTCACTGCTGGTCCTCACCGCCTTGAGGCAGCAGCAAGGTGTGGTATTCCACAGGTGGTGTCGGTGGGAGCCTTGGATATGGTAAACTTCGGACCAGTGGACACCATTCCGAAACAGTTCCAGGGGCGACTGTTCTGTCATCACAACTCTTCAGTCACTCTGATGCGCACCTCTCGCGAGGAATGCTCAAAGCTCGGTCAGATCATGGCAGAAAAGCTGAAGGGAGCCCCCACCAACAAGACACGCGTTATCCTGCCCTTGCAAGGTTTCTCGGGTATCGACAAAGATAAAGGTCCATTTCGCGATGCTGAAGCGGATGGTGCTCTGCTGGATGCACTAAAGAGTGGTTTGTCGTGTCCAGTGGAAGAGCTTGATGTGGATATAAATAACCCTTCTTTCGCATTGAGGGTTGCCCTAGCATTGCACGAGCTATTGCAGGCGGACGGACAGTAGATTGTAATGTGGTGGAAATAGCAATGATATTCTCGACTTCTGCAATACCAGTGTAATATAGATAGGGAATAGCAGGCAAAACAGTTACAATGTAGCGAACAAGCAGATATCCACGTCCATTCAAAGTCCCATGTCCATGGCCGTTGTACAGCTGTAGTGTAGCATATCCGGTCCTGGTGAATGTGCGACAAGGGAGGCAAGAGAGGCTATGGTTACATTATTGAACGAGAAAGAGAAAGATGGAGAGATGGAGGGATGGAGATACTCAACATACTGACGGATATACAAACTAGGAAGACATTTGGTGCAAAACATAGAAATCTATATCCAATGTTAGTGATGGAGGAACTTTTGGCATTCCTCTGCAGAAGGAGAGGGAAAGGTCATGAAATCATGAAGACGCTAGCTTTAGTAGGGCACACTGCCCATACCCATGAAGTTCTGTCCAGGGGGACCAGGGCTGGGGTGACGCATGACACTCTGGTGCATGGCCTGAGTCTGCTGCATACCGAAGGGTGGGCTCATCATGCCCATCCCCATTTGCATAGAGAGCAAATGCGGAGACAAAGCACCACCCATGGCCGGCGACATTGCGCCGTACATAGCAGGGGTGTTCGCCATGTTCGCCATGTTCATCGAGAACATAGCCTGTTGTGGGGGAGGAGATTGTGATGGTGGTGTGGGACCATCGGATGTTCCCCCTTGTTGCTGCTGATTTACCTGCATCTTCTGCATCGCTTGAAGCTGCTAGCGATATGAGCACCAACCCAAATGCCAAATCTCCATTACGCACCTCGTAAAAGGCAAAGTCCTGCAGCAGAGAAGTTCTCGCAGGGTGGGTGTGGAAGATACGGAGCATTTCTTGACCAGCTTCAGGTAACAGCTCCTGGGTGTCTCGGGAGTTTGTCACTGGCTTGCGTTCTTGAGTGTTACTAACCAAACGGTAAGCATACAAGCATTGCTGTTAGTGTAGCAGCTCACTTCAAGCGGATGTGCCTCAAATTGGCGTTCGGAATATCACGAACGAAGATCCATCGCACTTTGAACACACCTTTCCATTTATCGGACGCCCATACCGTACTGCTTCTTGTGTAGTCCACCTACAGGGAAGAAGAAATATGAACTTTGGAAGTCCGGGAGTAAAGCATACACACTGGAGTTAACATTTCCGCCATTCCGCAAAAATGTCCGCTGGGGGTGAAAGTGAGCATATGTTAGCAATGAATCACCAACTCACTTGCCTGGCATTCACGCTAAAGAAAAGGTAGATGGGACCCCTCCCACCACATTCTTTGAAGGCCTTGTCAAGTCTCTTGTTGCCGGGATCAGTAGAACTCCATATCTCGTATTTCAAAGATTTGTGAACGTCATCTTCCGTGTATGACTTAATGACAAAGTAGCGGGCCTAGGCAGTCTTTAGTTGAGGTAGTGATTTCGAAAGCAATGAAAACGTACAAAGCCAGGACGAACATCGAAATTGGGCGGATTGTAACCCTTTCCAGCAATCAGGGTCGGAACGTCCACCGGAGTGTTGACGAACCCGGGAACGGGTTGGGCGTTATTCTCACTTTGTGTCTGTCCTTGGCCAAAGGAATTCCCCATTCGCGGAGCTTGACCGCTTTGTTGGTTAAGATACTGCGGAGGAATGGATGGTACATTAGGGATGTTGTTTTTTTGACCCTGATTGTATCGGTAGTTCAGGTTGGGGTTAGAAGTGCGTTGGCCAAGTTTCTCCTTTTGCTCCCAAGACGTAGTACCGGTGGCAGTCATTGCACGTTCAGCGTCGTTCATGGGACCAGCGCGCGATTGATGCATTTGTTGTTGAGCCCCAACGGACTGGGCGTACACGGGGACGCTGACAGGCGCTGGTCCGGGCTGCGCAGTTGGGGTCTTACGCCCATCAAGATCAGTGTTCAACTGCAATTTGCGAGAGCCGTTACCGGCGCCCTGAATGTTGCCCGAGCGCATACCAGGGGAAAGGACGGGGGGTGGATGAGTGGGTTGGAACCGAGGAGGATGGGCAGATTGTCCTGCTTGATATCCCATATTACTGACATAGATATTGCTGTTGATTTCGAGGCCGGACAGAGCACGCGCGAGGTCATCAGGATTTCCTGCTGCGGAAAATGATCCGCCAGGGGTCCGCCACTCCCCAGTGTTGGGTGCGTTCCATGGAGAGGACCGCCCCATAGGGCTTGCTGGATATTGTCCTTGTACAGCATATTGCTGCTGCTGTTGGCCAGGCACAGGGGAACGGGAGCCAAAGTAGGACTCGTCTTCGTAGGGATTGACAAGCTCCTGTTCCTCGATGTACTCCTCCTCTCCATGTGGGGGGCTGGGGCTATGTCCGACTGAGGGATGACGTCCACTTCCTTGAACAGTCCCAGCACGCTTGAGCCCCGAAGAGGTCATTTGCCTGACACCACTCTGAGCCCCATAAGTCAGGCTCTGATGGCGCCGCACGCCTGACCCGGCGGGAGGTGGGGAAGGGACGTGCGAAGTTGAATATTGAGGTGACAGAGGAGATGGATTGCCCGTAGACGGCTGGGATTGGGCGTCAACGACGTGTTGATGCTGGGCAGACTCAGAGTTGGACATATCGTGCTGGGAAAAGACAGGTGAGCATAAAAGTTGACAACGGAGATGAGACGTGTAGCAAGTCCAATATTGGACTATCCATGAGGTGGAATTTGAATGATCACCAGTGGCGTGGAGGATGTAGATGTAAATCAAGCAGTGACTCACTTCGTCGTCATTCTGGAACCCTCTCATTTCACTCTCCCAGTCTTCTTCGTCGCCTTCGTGACCAGCGATAGCGGACAAACTATTCATAGTCCTTGGAGTGAGATTCCCCGCCTGTCGTGAGCCTTTCTGCCCATGGAAGGCTAGAGGGAATGTAACGGTAAGCTGTGAGCAGGAATCTAATGTAACTTTCACATACCCTTATACTTGGTGGGGAGAGAGCTTTGTCGGTGCAATGAGACTGTTTTCTCTCCCACCGCGCCAACTCCACCAACCCAATCCTCGTCGACGGGCTCATCATCATTCCACAGTTGCTGGTCCTGTGTTTCTTCAGAAATGACAGCACGGGCACCAGCCCTCGCTGCACGAGATGACGCTGAGATCGTGTGATGACGCCGGACGCCACCAGTTAAAGGAGGAGAGGCTGGTACGAGAGGAGGGGAAATCTGATGTGTCCCCTGCGATGACATCGGCGATGATTTTTACGTCTCCTGATGTCTTAACTGGACAGACTGACCAGAGTAGGTACTGATCAAAGCGATCGAGCAGGAATCACAAGAGAAAGAAGAAGAATAGAAAACGTGGGTGAGTTACCGACTAGAGTCCGAACTTCTCATACGCTCAATGAAAGCTGTGACACCGCACGTCCACATATCATGTTCCTGATATATTCGACTCATCGCAAAAATCGTTCGTTGTATTGCATTGCATAGTACAGCACACAGCTGTACGGTGATATAAGGTACGTAGGGTTATCAAGGTAGGGCAATAAGTGTTTAGGATTGTCGCATCTAACGGAGTTAACGGCACTGCATGTGGTACCCATGCAGCGTCAGTAATTTGACAGCCGCCATTATGAGGAGAGGACGACTGCCTTCGTTCTGTCGAGGTCTTGAAGGAGGTAGGCTCCAATAAGAATCAGTCGAAAAGGAACACGATAACGAAAGCAGCAGGAAAATAATAGGATCTCTGAAAGGGTCTCGCAAACACTAACCAAGTTCATCAGAGCCGCCACTCAGATCTCAGCGATAACAAAACACCGCACCGATTTCCTGCCAAGATGTTAGCCGACTGAAGATGCCCGTGTTGTACAGCTCTGCGGGTGCAGTCAACATATTCCGATTTTTCCCATTTGCCGCGTCGCCAGAGAGTAACGCGGGAAGAGCGAATCCTATCAAAAGGATGATTTTAGTCACTTATGATACCTCAAACAAATACTCACGGTTACAGAAGACAAATGACTCTCACAAAAAAAGAAGGTTGGTATGTAGTTGAATGTGATAGTTGTTGTTCCAGGCGAATGAATTTCATATGTGCTTCTTGTGGTGCACCGCTCTTGAGTGGGGGAATGAATGAATAGTATGAAAGCTCCTGACGCGTACCTGGCTCTGTGTTGCAGTTCTACTGCGATATCATCACGAAGGTGGCACGAACCTCAAGGACTTCTTGTGCGTTGAGATAATTACTCGAGATTTTCCGACGGTGATCGCTGAACCGAATTAGCAGCTTGAGTAAAGCTCTGTTGATCTCTGCGGAGCTGAACTGTACAGCAAATTCACGTGTTCTTCGACAGAATACTACGTTGCGTGTGCCTAATTGATTATCGAGATTCAGTATCATCGGGCTACTGCGGGCCGTACTACGGCTGAACGTACCCGCTGCTCAAGGTTTGTTGTTGGTGCTCCGGCAGTGACCATGTGGTGGCACGAAATTAGATGATGATATCTAGTTAATAACACAACTTACCACCCACCAACGAAACCCTTCCGGAGCGAGTGGTAAGGATAATCCGCGTAGCTGGGAAGCGCCAGTCATTGGTGCTATGATCATGTAGTTCGACTCGAGTTGAACCCTAGGCCTTTGATGTGACACTGAGAATTTTGGGAGTAGTATCGGGACGATTCACCGGAGTGCGCAATTGATGTTATGCCACGCTGGTTACTGATAATCATTTATGTAATGTCGGGCACCAACATTTGGCGTAAACAAATCGGACTTTGAACTTCAATGAAGGTGCCGCCAGAGCACGTGCCTGCAGAGCTCATACGTTTTCAGGGTTTTCCTTACAAACTTGCCCTGCCGTTTTGGCTCGAGCTCGCGGCTCCGCATGTCCATCCTTGGATGAGCTCGGCTTGGTCCTCAACTCGACCGACACAAAATAATGCGACGCTAATGAAAAATCGAGCTGGCGATCGAAGCACAAAATCTTGATACCATGCGCTGGCATGAATGGCCAGCATCTGCTTCGAAAGAGATTACCTTGGACTGTTTACATCTTTTGAAGGCTCGGAGTGGACTCATTCTTCTGTGCGGTCTGTTCTCAAAGGTGGTGTGAGTCCACGGAAGTTGTGATTTCATCGATGCCTGAGCACGTTGCCCGCCAATAATTTTTCTTCGCATTACAGGAGCTTTCATCATCCGAAAATGTATTGTGCAGTGCGTTTCCGCAGCTTTCACTTTCAAAAATAGCTTTCTAGATGACGTGATGCTTGCAAGATAGGGCAGGGATTGTTGGAGATTCTCCTGACTTGACTATGTCTGCTGGTTGTTTTATTGAGGGAGAATATTAATCGTGTTCCCCGTCTTGCACTTACGAACGACTGATATTTGGGAGACCTCACTCGGGCTGAACGATATACAGTACCACTGCTCATGTTACACCCTTATTCCAGCCGTTGCGGCCACTTCACAGTCTTTCGCAGTAATATCTGCGCTCATGATATGAATTGTATCGACTGCTTCTCCTGTATTGCCTCGGATGTACTGCAATTACTGCGGATTATATCTTGTCTTACTAGTGTCTTCGTGTGGAGTCGGGCACTGGCACGGCAGCCACTACGATTTTCTTTTATCACGTTCAAATCCTATCATAATCACGGGCACTTCACTTACGAGTATTTAACCCTCTCGTAAGTTCCCTCAGTCATTTCCCAACTCTACTGTTTCCGAAGGCTGTGACTTTGACTAACGTCACACTGCGTCTCACTGTCGCATTCGTTTGAGGCAACTTGTCACGAGTCTGTCACATGGCCAGCATGAGAGCTTACTCCATTTTGCAACTTCCAGATGGAACTAAGTTAGCATATGAGGTACTCGGCTCCGACTACAAAGGGGCATCAGTGCCGCTCGTGTATGTCGGTGGGATGACGACCTGTCGGGGAGACTCGGAGAAAGTATCGTCGCTAGTAGCTAAACATCGACAAGGTACGTGGACAATACTACTCACTGAACGAGGGATGTGTATAAATTGACTCGATACAGTGTTGATCTATGACCACAGGTAAATGCCAAGGATTGTTTTATTAACTTGTTGTTCAACCATGAGGTGGTCGCAGGGGCATGGGGGATTCCCGTGCTCGAGAAGATGACCCTTTCACTATCGAAACACTGGCAAGGGACCTTCTCTCTCTAATTCAGCATCTCCAGTGGAGCGAGGTTGCTCTTTGCGGACATTCGATGGGGGGTAGGTTCAAGAAAGGCGATTCACACCACAGCTCGCATCTAACGTGTATTATAAGGCACTGTTGTTCAGAGTCTTTTATTCCTACCCTTTCATCGCACGAACCCGACTCCCTTACCTTTTCGTGTGACACACGTTGCACTCGTTTGTACATCATTCAGACCCAACCCAGAGCCATACGGACTCAAGTTACCGAAGAGACCGAAAGGGCCCTTGACACCTGAAATAATCAGGGAGACTGTGCGCCTCTCTTTGCTCCCCGCCCTTGACCCCGAGTGGTTTGCTAGTGAAGGCAATCAGAAGAGAATTGAAGAGCTCATAGATCGCGCGTTCATTGGCAGGTCGTGCTCTTGTTTTCATTTGAGGTAGTCAGTGCTGACCAAAATGATGCAATACTCAGACCAGTCAAGACGTTGTGTAGGTGTCCTTCTCCGAGTCCTCTTAGCGTAACGTTTATCCTGTCACAGTACAACAAAAACGAGCAGCCTCTCAATATGATTTTACTGGGTTTCATTCTCACCTGTCGCCGGACACTCAATTCATGATTATCCACGGTGAACTTGATCAGGTCGCGCCGTTCACCAATCTTCAGGGCTTTTTGACACGTATTCCATGGGCGCGTGTGGTACCGGTAGGAGATGGACCAGGTTCACTACCAAATCTTCGTTTCGGTCATGATTGGATCGAGTATTTCGATCCCCAGGTTTGGTGTGGCGTTTTCGAAGCGTTTTTGCAGACTAGACGTAAAGAGAAGGCTGTGCTGTAATAACGATTCGGCACCGTTGTAGTGTACTGTAATGTACTTGTAAAGGTATAAATTATGTGCTAGGTCGCGTCCAGTAGCCTTATGTATTCCATGTTTACCCAAGGCGCGTGTCCGAATGTGTCCATCTGTCCGTTGTCTGTCAGTGTAGCATATGTGGTGTCTGGATACGAAGGCTTTCGCAACACCACCTTGGGCCAATAATACTTTGTGTAAGGCTTGATTCGCACATTCACCCCTGTCTCCTGGTACTTTCGTAGAGCTGCGACCAGTTCTTCTGGAATTTGTGAGAGATCAAAACGCACAAGGAAACGGCAGTCAAATAGGACTTCCAAAGAGTTGTCGCCGCGACTCATGGCGATTGCGAGGCGTTCCGTGATATCGACATCCAATTTTGAAGATAATGTTGCAGTGTCCAACATGTAGTAGGGAACAGCAGGCAGTCTAGATGCCATCCAGGCAAATCTCTCGCCTGGTTGTAATTGGCGACCAAGACACTGGGTGCCCACTCGAAGTCGTTTCTTAGCGTTGAATATCGCAGGCTGCCAAAGTACTCCACCACCAGCAGTGAATGGTGGGGCACCGTCAGACTGCCACAAAGTATCGATGATGCGCTGTATGCTGGTTCTGCGTCGGTTGCCGTCCGCACGCAGAGATCCCCATGGATGGAACGATACATAACGCATGACCCGAAGGACCAAAGCAAGACGGACAGTCGGATCCACGATAGCAGGTAGCGCATGCGAGGAGAGTATGAGAGTACTTGGAGGAGAAGGAAGAGTCAAGTTTTTAAGGTGGAACGTGACTAACAAAGTCAGTGAATCCAGGTCTGAAGAGTATTTGGTGCAGTGATCACTCACCCTCATTATCAACGTCCTCGAGTCGCGACGAAAGAACCTTCACTGCACCATGAAGCTGATGCAATCCACCTTCGAGGTCCATTGTGGTTTCCTGGAGGTCAGCGGCAGCTATCTTTATTTTTTCAAGGGAACTGGAAATATGTGGTGGTAGTCCAGAAAGTGCGGACTGCATGATAATGAGTGATGCTGGACATAGATTAAAAACAAGACATCACCATATCTTTGCCCTCCTCTTGCAGAGTCAGCATTTGCCTAATCGCATTTCTTAAAGTGATCTCGGGCTGGAAGTTTGTCGGGTCATTCACGTAATCGAGCCGGTGTTCTTCACATGTTGCAAGGATCCTGTCCTACAAGTCAGTCATCAACAAATCAGACTCAAATCCATGTTAAGCAGCTCTGACCTTCCTGACCTCAAGAAGAGGTCTCATAATCCAACGGTTCAATCCATGGTGACCAACCCACCCAAGTCCACCTTCCACATCACCAGTACCCATACCCCATCTACGGCATCGTCGCATGCCTCCTGCGCCGAGTTCGGTCGTTCCCCTTGCAAGACGCATCAATGAAGTCTCTACTTGGTCGTCGGCATGATGCCCAAATGCGACTGAGTGTGCACCAGTGCGTGCCATCCCATCAAATATAACATGATACCGTGCCTCTCGCGCGACTTGCTCCATCGACTGACCAGCGACAGGTTTTGCAGCAAACGGTGGTGTTCCCCAAGGTATGTCAAGCGTCAGATGTTCAACCCACATGGCTGCTGCATTCGCTGCAGAGCGAGCTGCCATTGACTGTGAAGCTTCTTGGAGGTTATGGTTCACAGAGAGAGAAACAACCGAGGTCGGGATCGATTGTCTCGCCATGGTTTTTGAGCGCAGGTCAGTCAGCAACTTTTTGAGGAGGAACAATAAGCAGGTGGAATCTGGTCCTCCCGAGTTGCCAACGGCTAAGGTAAAATGCGCTAAATTTCAAACACGAGATGCAATGAAGAGTAACATACCGATCTTGGAATTCACTGGCCACCCATTCGGAGGCATGCACCTCATGAACATCTGGAAAAATTCATTGAAGAGAATTGGTGCAGGACCAATGCCCGCCATGGTGGACAGCGGTCAGATGTAGCCTTGAGCGGAGTAGTCGCGAACTTCTGCGAGCTAGGAATACCTCTTTATAAGGAGGGATGATTGCCTTCCTTGTTCTATCAATGAGGCCGGAATTCATGCAATTGGTCTGTGGCTGTGCAACAACTACTGAAAGTCGGTAACATTTTCGATCAATTCTCGATACATCATTTAGCCAGTCCAACAAGCCATTTTACACCACAGTTGCGACGAGCTTTTTGAGCAAAATGTGCACAATCAAAGCCAGTACATAGAACGACATCGGATTAAATCCGAGTTGTGTTCCATATCGACTCCACCTAATGTAATTTGCTACGTACGATTTACTACTATAATGCACGAATGTGAGGTGATTGGCTTATTGTATTAGTGAGGAGAATGCGAATGGGGGGAGTGGCGAATGTAGCTTATGCAATGTATATCCGACCATACATATGTCTAATCTGTGAACTTGATACTGTGACTTTGCAACTGCCACACCAATCAGGCGATGACCATATCGATACCGAAGAAAGAACATGCTCACAGTGATTTCTCCACCGCGGTATGAACCTCTCTTCTTCTTGTTCTTCTCCTTCCTGAATCCTGCACCCCGCGTGACAATCAAGTCCTGGTGTGCACGATTGCCGTAGTCATTAGTGACCCCACCCTGTACGAAGAAAGAGGGTTAGGTCTCGCAGGTGGACTAAAGATACACCTCACCTTTGCTTCGTACCCGTTGTCTAGAAGTTGTTCCGCAGGTATATTTTGGGGTTTTATCCTCGAAAATCGCTCATTCGCGTTTCGTGGGGTTTTGCCATTGCCATTTTTCTGTATATTTTTGACCTTCGCTGAAACTTGCACATCATCGGTAGGATGTGTTGACACCACAGCAGTGACTACAGCAGCTCCAGACTCAGATGTCTTTCGCTTTTTTGTTACCTGCATTTCCTCTTTGGGGATTGATGTGACGCCCGTATTGGCCCTGGATTTAGAGGACGCGACACCACGTCCGACAGGAATCTTGCCAGAGATGGGAGTGATCTCGGCTTCAGACTCAGACTCAGAACTCGAGGTAGTGGACTCGGAGTCGGACGATGTAGACTCGGAGTCAGAGGAACTAGAGTCGGAGCTAGAGGAACTGGAGTCGGAACTGGAGCTGGAATCTGATGAATTAACATCCTTTTTTTGGGTGCCTTTGCGGGCTAGCTTTTTGTCGGACGCAGAATCAGTCGTGGAGTCATCAGAATCAGAATCAGACCCTGAGCTTGAGCTTCCCTTGACTGAAGGTTTCTGTTTGGTGACTTTAGACTTCACTTCAGGAACCTTGGCATCTTTGACAAGTCAGTACTGATAAAGCTGACGCTGATGATGGGGGCATACCAGAGGACAGGGTAGCACTCGTTTCACGATCTCCACATGAGAGAGTTTCAGGTACCTTTTTACAGGCCTGAGTTCCTTTTTTACTGTCGCCCTCGCTTTCACTTGATGATGAATCTGTGGTCGTGAGGCGGCAATACATGGTAATAACAAGACATACATGCCTGAATCATCCCCTGAACTTTAGGCTGACTTATGAGCAAAATAAATTATACATCTCAGGAACATACGTTGAATCGGATGAACTGGAACTGGAATCAGAGCTGGAACTTGTCGAGGAATCTGTCCAGAATTACATATCGGGGCCCGTTTGTGCATGATTGGGATAACGCACCATCAGAGGAATCATCTGAAGCTATATCACACTTAGCAATAGACCTCGTACGACTAGCGACATCAATACACACAGTCAGAGTCAGAACTGTATTCTTGTGCTTGAGTAAAAGAATAGCACACAAGGAAAGTAAATACTCACGAACTGTCATTAGCATGCGACTCCTTCCATTGCTTAACTATCTCGTCCAAGGATGAACCCTCGAGCTTCAAATCATCCTTTAAGACAATTATGTTCCTTGCAGCTTTCTTTACAGCATCAGCTGCTTTTGTCTGGGACTGCTGTTTCAGAAACGCATAGATTAGAGAATATGTCACTGCGAGCGACTTTTTCAGTTCCTCGTATGTACTATTGTGGCAGTGTGCCTACCTGCAAGGTTCGCGTCCGACATCACTACGAGGACGGCCAGCAACTTGTGATGAGTTGAGGAGACAAGAGTGAGACTCCCGCTGTCACGAAAGTGTACTACATACAAAATTTAGAGAGGTGCATAAACAATGTCAAATACGATATCAAGTTACCTCATTTGTATCCCCTTCCATGACAATAATGTCGTCAACCATGAGTTCAATCAAGGGTCCATCCAGCGCTCAATTCGATGGCTCTAGTTTACGCATCGCCATCGTGCATGCGCGATGGAACAAGACTGTCATTGACTCACTCGTGGCGGGCGCAATCAACAAGCTGAAAGCATGCGGGGTTAAGGACTCCAACATCATTGTCCAGTCTGTCCCAGGTAGTTTTGAACTTCCTTTCGCATGCTCGAAGTACGTATCAGCTTTTCCATCTTATACAGCGGCTCAACTATTCTATAGAATGATTGCAGGATCATATGTTCAGGCGGCCACATCTTCTCGTGATCTGCTTGGGTTAAACTTTGGTGGTTCTTCGACATCACTTCCATCCAACAAGGAACCTTCTGCACCCACTCCAACACTTGTCGACATGCCAAACGCTCCATTTGATGCAGTAGTGGCCATCGGTGTCTTGATAAAGGGCTCTACGATGCACTTTGAGTATATCTGCGACAGCGTTTCTCACGCTCTCATGAGAATCCAGATTGACACAGGTGTCCCTGTGATTTTCGGCGTCCTAACAGCACTTACAGAGGACCAAGCATTAGAACGAGCTGGTCTCGGCAGAGGGGCAGAGAAGGGTCACAATCACGGCGAGGATTGGGGACTTGCAGCAGTGGAGATGGGAACACAGAGTAAACGATGGGCTGAAGGGAAATTTCTCTGATATGGGCATCAGAGGACTGGTGAGCCGCAGATATTGTCATATATAGAAAATGTTTTCGTTATATTGGAATATAAAGTCATCAAGCCATGTATAACATTAAAATGATGATATAAGACTACTTAGACATATGCGCGAATGATACGACTGACAAGAATCCGCAGTCTCATTTTAGTTCAGACAGCTTAAAAGAAGCAGAGCACGCTGCATTGAATGGACCAGAGAACACGCCTGATTATCTCGCGATGTTGGCTCACCCTGGAGTACCTCCTCATTGCCTAGATCTGAAACCAAATTGCATTTGCGTCGTTCAACGAACCATCTCGGTGGAAAAGGGACTGGTCAGAAATGCGCGCGCGCGTGTCCTTGTAATATGTAGAATAAAATAGAATATGCCGATATATGAATGTATGTACCATACAATACAAAGCCCTGATATTGCATGCTCAAGCAACCATTTCGTACACTTCCACGTCCTGAAACAGACCAGAAAGAATCCACATTCATTGCCAGGACACCTCAGCTCCACTCCGAACCGGAACACTGTTGCATCGCCCAACATTAAGGTCTCGCTGAAGACGAGTAGATCAGCAGGATTGTTGCCACAGTATGACGGTGAAACATACGCAGGCGATTATTTAAAGTGATTTCGAGAATAGTCTTGGTTAACTCCGCCTTCGCCTGAGAGCACAAAGATTCTTTCTTCCTCTGCTGAGAGCATTCAAAAGTTGCTCTTGCCTTCCTCTGGAGGCGTTCAAACAGTAATTTTGCCATCCAAGCAAGCGAGTTTCCTTGATACGTGTAGACAAAATCCTTCGCAGCTTCTTCATATGCGTGGGCGGCAGTAGCCACAGCTTCTTCATATGCCTGAACGGCAGCGCTCACACCTTCCCTGACAACAGCTGCATGCTGGGATGCCATGTACCGCTCGAGAGCGACATAAAAAGAGGGAGCAGGTCGTTGGTCCTGAAGATAGCGTTGCTTGTTGAAAATGTAGAAAGAGTGTTCCAAAACAATGATATAAGCTAAATGATCAATGATAAGCAGGTTCATCGCAACGCAGCCTCCAAATTTACCAGAACCGAGCTGAACAGTGTTCTCCAAGGGTGATGAGTCAGAGGCCTAGCACGTTCGCAACATCAGAATTGCATGTACAATCTGTGACAAATTGGACATACCGTAGAGAGTAACCTAGACCGCATCTCTGCACGATGACTCCAATCAAGCTGGTTAAATCATGATGGAAATTTGAATATCGTCTATCTCTGCTAGGGATCGATACACTCACATCCTGCCAATGCGTAACATCTTCGGTCAGTATGGCCCAAAGTCAAAGAAGAATAAAGAGACCGACTTCCTATTGATGAATCAGCGATGTTGTTCGCGAATAAGGCTCGAATAAAAACACTCACATACTGTTAAAGGATGTATGGTTCCGGTTGTAAGAAAGCTCGAGCTCGACAAAGAATGAGCACACTGACATTCTGTCAGTAGATGAGCAATGTCATCGGTGAGGAAGGTCAGTGATGCTCCAATTCGACTGCGGGTCGATTCGCTTACATGCTAGAAATGGATAGGCGATGTCTTCAGTCAGTATGGCTCAAGCTCAACAGTGGATAGACCGACTCACAATCTATTAATGGAGCAGCAATGTGTTTGGTCAGTATGGCGCGAGGGCGACGGAGAATCGGTAGACTCACACCCTGACAACAGTTCACCGATTGCATCAATGAAGAAGATAGGAGGTAGGTAGATGATGATCACACTCACAAGCTGTCAATGGATCGACGATTTCTTCGGTCAGTGACTCAAGGTCGGTAGAAGGTCAATGTACTGACCTCCTGCTGATATAGCTTTGATCAGGAATGCTTGAATTTGACAAAGGATCAATGCACTTACGTGCTATCAATGTATGCGCAATGGCTTCACTCAGGAAGGTTCGAGCTCGAAGAAGGATTGACACACTCACACGCTGCGAACAGTGGGCAACGACTTCGATTAGCATGGCTCGAACTCGAACTCGGATCGACACACTCACATGCTGCGAACAGTGGGCAACAACATCGATCAGCATGGCTCGAGCTCGAACTCGGATCGACACACTCACACGCTACGAACAGTGGGCAACGACTTCGATCAGCATGGCTCAAGCTCGAACTCGGATCGACACACTCACACGCTGCGAACAGTGGCCAACGATTTGGATGAGCATGGCTCGAGCTCGAACGAGGATCGACACACGTACTGTCTGTAAGTAAACGCGTAACGTAATGAGAGCAACTTTCGAACTTTCCGACAATCTTACCAAAATATGTGGAAACCAGGCACCTGATACCGCTACCGTCTTCTCACAATCCTCGGATGTCGTTGCCTCAGCAAAGTTCAGACGTTTCATGAGTGATCTGGGCAATATCAGTCGCTAACGCCCGAAGCAGGCAATAAGATCATGGGTAGTTACTTCTCAACTGCATATTTTATGCAGAGTTCCAAGTTGCTCTGCTGAGTCGAGACAAATATTTGCTTAAGTACTTCATTATCCAGAGTTCCCGCCGTTCGTTCGATGAGTGGCCCGCAATCTGCGTCGTCCCTGTCCATGTCTAATAGATCAGCGTCAAAATGCATCAGACTCATAAGTCGACGATCAACAGCTTACTAGGGAGGCATATGTGACATTTTGGAGGGTGTCGAATCTCCTTGGAGTGGTATAGAAACTTCAATTGTGACCCAATCGCAAATGACTCTTCGGCGTGCTTCGGCGCTAGTTCGGCAGCATCATTCATCGATGCTCCCTTCGATTTCAGCTGGGCATATGCGTCATCGTAGAGGGCATCAAATTTTGTGAACAGTACTATCACTGGAACTGAGGATTGTGATTCTGCGCTTCAGTCGGACGTCAACGATGGTCGGATGCAAAAGCTTACTGCTTCCAGTATCGCATTGAGAGAAAAATTTGACTTCGCCTGAGGTGAACGATCTACATGCCTCGTCCATTGGGATGCAATACCTATGTTAAACTGTGAGGCCGCGTCGCGATTGATCACCTGCAATTACCAGATAGCGTGGAGTTGATCTTTTAATTTGATTTCCTTAGAACGGTCTGCGATGAAAACCTTGACCTTGTTGAATTCAGATTCGCCGCCTGCTTCAAACCCGCGAGAATCGTGAAAGATAAAACCCGGGTTGCTTTTAAACACCATTTCGTTTTCGATGTTGTGCAATCCGCGCTGAGAATGCGTCAGTTCAGATTAACATTTACTGAAAGTACACGACACCTCCGTGGAAGCCATCAAAACTGTGGCATCGATCTGAAGTTCATCACTCAGTCATCCCTACCATCCTCCTATTAGCATCGCGATGCCTACCTTTTTCCCGGTGCTGTTATATATTTCTGGATTCTCCCGTGTGTTACAAACTCTCTGTAGAATGGTAGTTTTTCCTGCATTGGCTCTTCCTATCACGAGGATTCGAAAGCGATCGATTCTCTCTCTTATCTCTAGAGGATCCATGGGGGAAGGTAGATATGATAGAAACTCAGAAACGTTGGAGTAGCCTTATAATCATTGCAGTGTGCGAACTCGGTAGATTCTGCCCGAGTTGAAAATGATCTAGATTCAGTGGGCAATGGGTATACGCAGTTGCATGCCACATGAGGCATACACGAGGATCGAAGTAATTTTGATCATTCGGAAGTGACGGAATATCTGTGTTCCGGAGTGCATATGACAGAAAAACGTCACGTCGCCGCAGAGACAAAGACAATAAGCTCCGCACATACAGCGAAAAAAAATCCCAATCAATCGTAACCCTCAGACAGAGATACAATCCTAACAGTGTTCAGCTTCGTCAATACTCCGTACACACAACCCTCACCTTCATACTTGAGAAGAACTCGGAGAAGATTCGTGACGAGATTTTTTCGCAAGAGTAAATACAACAAAAACGCACCACTATATGATTCAGATTCCAGAACTGTTAATGACTGGTCGCCATCAAAATTGAAGTGAAAGTGACCATTGACTCCTGGCTCCAAGGACCTGCTTGACTTGCCGAGCTGATTTCGAAACTATGTGACGTGACTGCCGACTTTTGTGGGGTGCCAATCATAGCGGAAGGGATATCATACCATCAACTCGCCAAGCAATATCGTTTCGAGATGAAGAAGAAAGTGGGCAAAGTTCTTACGTCTGCCGCGCAGGATAGTCATTGTGCAACTTTAGGTGCTATTAATGGGAGCGTCTGGCAGTGGAAAGACTTCCATGCGGTCCATGATATTGTAAGATACCATCATTAGCCTCACTTGGACAAGCTCAACGCTCCTCAGCTCCAATAACCCAGCGTCCCTCACCTCCCGTCTTGGCGCAACAATTGACGTCGAGCAGAATCATGTCCGCTTCCTGGGCGATCTCATCCTCAATCTTTGGGACTGTGGTGGACAAGATGCATTCATGGATTCATACTTGAGTACGCAACGCTCAGTCATCTTCTCGCACGTCGGGGTCATGATTTATGTCTTCGATGTCGAGTCCCGTGAAATGGAGAAGGATCTAGAGTACTATCGAGATTGCCTGGATGGATTGTCGCAGTTCAGCAAGGACGCCAACGTGTTTCTCTTGGTGCACAAAATAGACCTGGTGAGGGATACCGAACGGAATGCCGTCGTGCAACGCAAGGTGGCAGAACTTGAGAAAGCCAGCGGCGAGACACCAGTCAAGGTGTTTGGGACGAGTATCTATGATGAAAGTCTTTACAAGGTATCGTGAACTCCTCTTTTCCTGCGACCGATTTACCACTAAGTTTTGCACAAGGCATGGTCAAATATTGTGAACACGTTAATTCCCAACGCTCGTAACCTCTCGAAACACCTCCGTATCTTCGCTGAAGCTTGCAGTGCGACTGAGGTGATACTATTTGAACGCACCACCTTCCTCGTCATCGCAACGTCTTCGCGAACGGACTCCTCCGATGCTTTCCCCTCCGGCCCTGTTGTCCTTCACGCACTGGATCCAAAGCGATATGAAAGGACTTCAGAACTCATCAAAGCCTTCAAACAGTCATGCTCACGGCTCAGGGAGGAATTTCGCTCTCTTGAAATGGAACTGGCAGAGTTCACTGCTGTGCTTGATGAAATGACCAAAAATACTTACGTGTTGGTTGTAGTCCATGATCCAGTTATCGGTCAGTCGGCTGTTACTAAATGGTCAGCTTCAGCTCACATTCACACATACAGAGACAGCAGCCATTAAGATGAACATCTGCATGGCGCGCAAGAAATTCGAAGAGCTCCAGGGAGACAGCCTTATCTCAGAAAAGTGAACGTTCACATTTGCAAGTTATTATTGGTTTCCCTTCGATAATTTACTACATATGTTTAAGTGATGCCTAAATAGGTGGCACAGAAATCAGTTTGTTGGTAGCTGCTTTGGCCCCCCGCCGTCAAAGGGACTTGGGAGAGAACAGTAGGGAGAGGCGTCAGCCGCCGATAATCACGATCATAAGTGATATATATCAGGTTACCCAAACTATAACACGATCAGAATGCGATTCAAGGGTTCGAGGCGCGACTCACATGCAATGGCGATGACCAAATAGAGGGTAAGGAGCATGAGACCTTCCATATAATTCGATCTTCCGTCCCTGAAACAAGTGAGTTTATTTTCGATGGGACTGACGTGTATGAGGGAAACCAACATGATTAATAGGTTGACAAGGAAGACAGATACAAAAAGAACGATCGTCTGAAAATTCGTCAGATACTTATATGATCGTGCGGAATATGTTCTGAACAAACAGACCTCGAAGTTGTGGAAGTGCAACGTCAAAGGTTGACCGACTCTAAACAAAAAAAAAGTGAGCAAGCCTCCCTAGATGCAATACATGATCATACATCCAACCGACGATCACAAGAAGTGGCACTACGAAACAGGCAATTTGCTGTTCCATAGTCAGCACAATCACAAGCTTACTATAAATCTACACTTACAATTGAACTCCCAATGCAGATGGTGATGGTGAGCTCGTATTTATTCTTCATTGCCATCCAGACTGAAGTGACGTGTTCTGCAGCATTGCCCTACAGACGATGTTGGGAGACAGTTGACCAGATACAGCTTGAAACATACCACAATCGGCAACAAGACAACACCGATGAAAACCTTCGGGATGGAATAGCGCACTGCAGTTTCTTCAATGGAGGAAACCACTAACACGATTGAACAATCGGACATCAGACCAAGGGAACAAAGTGGTAGACTTACGATACTCAGCACAAAATGCGATGACCACAGTTACCGATAAAAGTCTTGAGAAATAAGGATAAGTGCTGAATGTAGCAAATGATAAAACCAAACTTACGCAACACCGGCAGCGGCTGTTCCCATACGAGGTACTGTTTCCTCTGGTTCCTCATTGTTTGATTCATCTGTAGGCGCAATGAAGAGTTTGGGGTGAGTTTTTAACTGAACGCTCGGATGAGTACACTGGGGAAGAAAAAGCAAGATATTAGAACATGCCTGAAACCAAATGTAGGCACAGTAAACTCCCAGGAGCAACATGGCAGTTCCCCTGGAAATCAAGAGTAGACCCGCAGTAGGACATTCAGAAGCATCATCGCAATAATTCTGCATTCCAGCTTCCGTGGTACTTGCATAGGCTGCAGGAATAACAAGCGCTATGAAATATTAGCAAAACTTTCAAGTTGGAGAAAAATATCGTACTGATGCACGATAGAGTCATAAGCTGGGCTTGGTTAGTTATCATGGCGATGGATAGGGCAGGTAACTTACGGAGGCAGATCTAAATATCATTGTAATTCAATAAAGGGTTTAAGGGGAAGAAAAACATAGAACGCACGCCTGAGCCCCAGTACCATTGAAAATTCCTTCTTCATGATATAATCCACCTATGTCAAGTGAGCACACTCTCCTTCAAAAACAGAGGCTCCTTACCAGCAAGAAACGAACAACCGAGGACGAGTAGTATGTTTGATAAGATCGATCCAAGCATCTAAGCCAAACATCAATATATCGCAATCAGAGCCCGTATGAAGATACTCACAGACGTCTGGACGATTCGCAGTTGGCCTGATATCATCGTGAGTTACAAACAACTATAGAGATGTTGGACAAACCATTGAGTAAAGCAGCAACGCCGACAATAATTTCTACGGCATTCCCAAAGGATGCATTAAGGAGACCTGACATAGTTTCTCCTAATTTGATAGACAGTTGGTCTGTAGCCTCGCCCAGCAACTAAAAACGACAATGTCAGCCTTCCGATAATTTATGATTAGGGGTGGGTTATCACCTTAGCCAAGGGAACGATAGCCATAAAGCTGAACAGGAATATTAGGCCAGCATCCCAGTCCAAGTTGTGAGATATGAAGCTCAAGGGGATGAATACGAGTAGGACATTGAACCACGTCCCAAGAAAAAAGAAATTGAAAGATTCTGCCCATGACGGCTCGTCTTCGCCTTTCATGAAATTGACAACGCGACGAGTCAAAGAAAGATCTCTATGACCTGAAGAACCGCCATTTTCGAGTAGCGGTGAGGATTCTGAAGTGGTCATGGATGATTGGGTGGAACGTGTTTCACGCTGTGAATTTGGAATGTTCTGCAAGAAAATTACTTATATAAGTGTGCAACTGGCCTGTGTTGCACCTATTCATGCCATAAGCAGACTTGGCATCATCGTTCTTTTCGAAGCCTTCGGTCGATCCTTTTGCCTTTACTTGGCTCAGTGGCGGAGCGCTGGCATTGCGCCTAGCGCCTAACTCGTTATCAGCTGGTATATGCAGCACAGGGACGACAGCGACAATTGCAGATACCCACGATAATGTCGCTCACTTTACCGAACGCGCTCGCACAATGCCGTCACGTCACCAACGAGCAAATCGTTCACAAGACAAATGTTTCACTCCGTTCAGATCGAGTGGACTATGAATTGGCATCCGCACTACAACCATTCAGAAAATGACGACGTATGATATGCATGATCAGTTCGATGTCTTGGGAGAGATCGAGTGGCACGTTTTTGTGACAGACCAAGGACTCGGAGTTCATTCCGAAGAGAGGCCTATCCATGGCGGCTGTCCCTATCGCCGCTGGGACCTCGAGTCCAGAGTGGTACTAGTTGCGAGTACACTTCCACTTGCTCCGTTTCTCGCATGACGACTCGAATTTCACCCTTATTTTCATAGAGCGACTCTCGGAATTATAGGAAGGAACCGTAATGCCATGCTGGAAAGTATCACCTTAAGCGGCTCATATGACAGATACCGTCACCATGACGTTCATCTACGTTAAGAAGGTCTGGAAGTGCTTCAAGAGCCGCGGTCTCGGGGGGTGCCGATGATCCATGAAACGGAGTCGAGGAGCTCAGTGCTGTGTTATGATCGTGGTAAGAAGCTTTTCCTACAAGTACTAATACTTACAGTCTGCGGGAAGATGACAAAATCCTGGGCGGCAAGTCTGTTTTGATCCGGAACGATCGTTTCTTTAACAACGACGATGAGTTTGAGCAGTTCCCTCGAACCGTAACTTTGATCCCAAGTATCACTAGGCTATATGTATGCAGAAGCAGATTAGTTTCTGACCCCTGAGATTTGAAAAAGGAAAGTTCGTTTTCAGATTCTAGAAATCTTGTCAGCTTCTTTCCATGCCAGAACGGCCGGTTCCGCGCGACGATGTGCGCACCGGCCAGCCCATTACTCACTCATTTGACACATGACCATGTTTGGACCTGGTATCTACCAACGGTGTTCCATTCGCGAAAAGGTAAGTCCTAACTCTCATGTCGCACAGCCAAACTCCACCGACCGCAGCCGCGCTAATGATTTGTAATTATGGATGACCGCAGCGACCAGATGTAGGTTTGGGTAACCCGTGCCTTGCCTAATTGTCATCACCTTCTTGGCTAGTCTCTTTCTAGCATCGCCTTGAGATACGCATCACAAGCCATTCGCCTTTAAAAGTTCGGACTCCTGGAGAAAGGTGTGTATGTACGCATATTGTTTTTTCTGAAGACGGATATCGCCTGCTTAGACGTGCGAAGTACTACCACTCGACCAATCTGGATGCGGTGCGATACCCACAGTCTCGGCGGTGACAGAGGCTAGATCTCATCCTGTAAAAGGTCAAGGCATGTGCGCAGTCAGCTGAACCACAGACACCCCCATGATTACGTTCACTCTCTCGACTGAAGACGTTCGCAAGACCGTCATCACCCCCAACCAGCAAATACAAATGATCTACAATTTGACTGCACTGCGACGACGGGGTCGTGGTATTCGTAAATTCGTTTGCGTGGAACTGAAGCAAAGACTCCAAAGAATTTCATTCCAGCTAGGGGCTGCTCGTCAAGGCAACCTACCACGAGTTTAGGACCATCTTTGTGAATTTCGAAACTTTGGCAAGAAATACGTTTTTACAGGTCCAGATGGTCGTTTATATCGCCGAGATCTTCAGCGCAAAGTTGTAATTGTTAGTGCACTTCCACTTCTTCCAGATACTCTGATTCTCACAATTCGATTTTAGCTCTCGCGGAACGAAGGATTTCAAAATGAAGTAACTCGTTATCATAGAGCGTTCTTATGGGAAGGAAATGCAAAGCCACGCTGGAGGTATCACCTGAGATGGCTCATATGATGGAGAGTCACCATCATCATGACATTCACCTAGGCTGAGAAGATTAGAAGGGGGAAAGAACGGCTACCTGTTCGTGACCTAGGTAGCCCACTACTAATGCAACTTTCAACACTTGACGAATGAACAGTTTTGATTGATCTTCACGCTAAGGTCACAGATCGCATCTGGAGACTAGAGGGCATATACCAACTATGAGCCCGACTACTATCTAACTATCACTAGTGAACACTACCCCTTCGGTCTGGCTTCAGCAAGGAAATTGTAACTCAAGTGAGTTGTCGCTAGTCTCAATGAAATGATATGCAATACTAGTAGTTGTACACGAATAAAGTAGGTATCAAAAATACAGGAGCACGCTAATGTCACACCAGATGTAAAAGAAACCGAGTCTAGACAATGTGGTACAGGAAATCATTAAGCAGAAACCTGGGGAAGCGACGATATGAATTCTGATAAGTAAGACCAGCACAAGAGCTCACCTTTCTGGTTCGTGATGAAGTCGCCTTTGCTTTCGAGGTAGGCTTCTTGGCGGCCTTGGTAGCTGCAGCCTTGGCTGCAACCTAGGGTAGAGTGAGCTTGATCAAACATAAACTCAACTCGTTAGCCTACCTTCTTCTTCTCTGACGTCTTCGCGCTGGATGCCTTTTTAGCAGGTGCGGCTGATTTCGCGGCGGGTTTCTTGGCGGGAGCACCGGCGGTAGCCTTCTTTGGAGCAGCCTTCTTGGGTGCTGCTGCGGTGGCAGCTTTCTTGGTGGCAGCTGGGGTAGTCTTCTGTGAGGCAGGCTTCTTCGCCTTGGATGCGGCGGTGGGCTTCTTTGTGACAATCTTCTTGGCTGGAGCATCAGACTTCTTGACTGGAACAGGGGCCTTCTTTGAAGCAGGCTTTGCCGCAGGCTTCACAACTGCCTTCTTTACAGGTACAGGCTTTGAATTCTAAGACATGTAAGTGAGCGCTATAAAACAAGATCGTCATTACTACCACATACCTCATCATCAGATGCCTTCTTTTTAGGTGCGAGTTTGACTTTGCCAGAAGGACCCTTTGGTAAGGCAAAGATGCCCGCTGTGACTCCAGATCCGATAGCGCGGTTGAGCTGGTACAAATTTGTACCAGATACCTCGAGGCGGTAGGTTTCCTCGGCAAACTGCATGTCATGCAACATTAGTTATTACCAGACAGACATAGAATGCATGCGCACCTTCTTAATAGTTGCTCTTGATACGCCACTGCGAGCGTCCTCCTTGTGAGCAGTGATGCACGCCTGATGATAAAGTTATAAAACTGTATTGGTCCGATTGCATCGACAAACCTTGATGATATCTTTCCAAGAAGGGTGGGAGGCGACCTTTGGAGCAGCTTTTGTGGGAGCCTTCTTGGATGCAGTTTTCTTTGCTGCTGTCTTCTTGGTTTTGGAAGAAGAGGCAGGAAGAGTCTCAATAGGGGGTGGAGAAGCTGAAGTGTTGGAGGACATTGCTACTGTTGAATGCGATCTAAGTAAAACAGATGTGTGACGATGAAATGCAAAATCCGCAGAATTTGGGCGTGGAGGGGACAGAAGATGGAGTGGGCAATCAAGTCAAGTTATCCACATTTATACCCAAAACGCGTTCAGTCACGTGTGGGCGCGTCTGCCTGTTTGTTGATAAACAAAACGCGTTCCGAAACCTTATTAAGATGGGAAATTCAGCACTGCCACAGGCTGCCACAAGTAGCGGAATCAAAATCAGGAACAGCCATTGTACTCGCCTCCCAGGCCGATCGCGTCATGCAGTAAAAACATGAGGTTGCCTTGCAACATCCAGCCAACATAATATAACACTCTCGATCACGAGACAGCTTCAGGTAAATATATCATGATCATTGCAGACTTCGAAGGTTGTCAGCATGAATAAACAAGAGATCTCCGGTAGCTCAACGAACCCAGTAACACACATGAATGAATTTTGACATGAAATCGGGATATGCTTGTCAGTATGTCACAGACACAGACGCCAACTTGCCACTATCGCCGGCTTTGGAAAATTCTCCACATTCCAAGTATAAAGTTCTGACGTCAGGCCGACTTTCACACAACTCCATGTTCCTGAGCAACCAGGCTGACATTTGTTGTTTCAGATGATACGTACAACTGGACTCAGACCAGGGCAACTGACAGTAGATAGCGTACGATAAGATAGGGCATAGAATGAGATAGACGTAATGTTTCGTTAGAAGTAAAACTCGTAGGCAAGCACGAGTGGCACGTCCCGGAGGTACATCCAAGAGGTAAAAACAGCAAGATGAACGAAAAACAAACTGGAACATGAGACAAAAAGCAGCGAAGAAAAACCGTGTTTCTGAGGAGACATCAAGACGTTAGCCATGATTCGCCAGAAAGAGCCTGAAATCTAACAATATGACCATACCAGGTGAGCAATAGTGACATAAGTATAGAATCCGACCCTACCATGAATAACATGCGTCACTTGCGAGAAGTCTTCCGGGCCCTCTGCTTCGAAGCTGTGGCCCTCGTAGTCCTCTTCGCGGAGATTGCTCCCCGCCTGATCTTTGATGGAGTTGACCTTCCTGTGGCAGTCTGAGCAACCCACCACGTGTCAAAGATTAACACTCGTATTGATATTAGTAATTGTGCGTATACCTTCTTAGCTGTCCCTTGTGCAGTAGCGGTCTTTCTTTCGACCGTCCTGCGAGTGGAGGAACCAATCGTCCTAGCTTTCTTTGCAGCGGAGTGATATTTATTTTCAGCAGTTCTTGACTTTGGCGGTGTGGCGGGTACGGTGGTAGCCGCCGGCTTCGCGGCACGAGACGTCTTCTTCGCCGCGGTTTTAGTAGCTGCCTTGATTGGGATGACGTGATTTTCTTTGGCAGCGGTGGAACGTTTTGAACCTGGCTTTGCGTTCTGCCAAATGAGTAGCCAGTTGAAGTAAAGTGGCAACTGGTGGCAAGAAAGAGACCAGCGTAACACACCTCTTTGGCCGCCTCAGTGTGCCTCCGGCTGGGAGGTGCAAGTTTAACTTTCCCGGAAGGACCTATATGGAATCGCGTAAAAATAATAAAGGCTCCGTGATAAAGGGAGGCTCACCTTTTGGCAGGACAAAGGTCCCTTTATCGGCGCCATGATGGATTGCTCGGTTAAGCTGGCTGGACGCTAATGGATTTATTTCGAGATGGTACTTTGAGTCGACGAACTACAGAACATCAGACGTAACTATGCAGAAGGCTATAACAGTGATCGTGTGCTTACTTTCTTAATCGCTGGACGCGATACGCCGTGGCGGGTGCCATCGGGTGTCGTGGTGATACATTCCTGTGGACAGGGGTTATTTTCACACAACGCAGATAAGCGCACATCATCCAAGATAGATTTGTGCAGTATTTAGAATGACAGTGACCCACGGTAATCATGTCAATCCAAGGGGGATGGGTCGTAGAATGGCGCGACTTTGAAACTGTCGCTTCCCGGGTAGATTTAGCACTAGGCCTAGGCTCGGCGGCCTTGGTCGAGAACTTCTTCGTAGTAGCGCACATTGCAACAAGGGGCGAACACAAAATTAGACTGTGACTGAATATAGTGCTTAAAAAAGACACGCAGATGGGGGGGAAGGGATGGTTGAAGAGGGGGAGATCCGAAGGATATGATATACGCCACGTGATTATCAATGTGCACGGACGAGGTGCACTGACCATGCGGAATATCGACAATATGATATTCGTCCTGTCGCAAGAACATTCTTGCACAAGACCCAATAAATGTGGACTTGGTAAAGCGGTCCGGGTCACCTACAATGAGAGATCGATAGATAGATAACGCGTAGTCGGGAGAAAGTTTTACTTGGTGAATAGAATCATTTGGGGCGATATACGCAGTGAATCGCTGAATCTGCAGCTTGGGCGGCGATTCTCATCATGAATGCGGCTAAGCAATGGCCCAAGCATGTGCATGACTCGGACCCTACTAGTCGTAGCATCAACTGCTTAACTAACTGGTCATGCATACATGATCGATTGATCATCCACTCGGTATGCGTTCAAGTTATAGCTAGCTTGTAAACGTGAGAATTTGAGATTTGTAAGGAGGAAGGACCAGTTGAACAAGTGATTGATGATGACAGCAGGATAGCGTAAGTAGTATACTACGTACGTCGCTGACACGTCAACTTGCAAACACCTCTCTTGCAGCTCTCTTCCATCTCAAGTTATTCCGGTCACTATGACCATTTCAGACTACCTGGTCACAGACGACCTCACCGTTCTTCTTGGCTTCATCGGGGTGTCTGTATTTCTCCTCCAGAACCTCTACAAACCACAGCCTCTTGTCCATCCAATTCTCCTAGGTCGGCAAAGTGATGCCGGGCGTGTGAGGAATCCAGGCGAGAGTGCGATTTACCGCAACTATGGGACGGGGCTTATGGGCAGGGTTTGTAGACTTGGGTACTTTGCGTTAGGCATTCGTTGAACCTGTCACAGTTTCCTGTCCGACCTGACAAAGACGTAAATGTTGCGACTGATTTCGTGAAACCCGAATTTGATGCACCGCGTACTCTCTGGTCTACGAAAGTACGTTCGACTTACCTTTTCGTAGATAATGAACGGACAGCTCATTGCGTTGTATTCACACTCAGATCACAAATACCCAGCTGAAAGCGCGAGTCTCAGCTTTTGGCTCGGGGATCGCCAAGCTTGTCCCAGAGGATTCAATTGTCTTGATATTGCTTAATGATTGCATCGGTGCGCTTCATCTCGTTTGGCGCATTTTGAGAATAATTCAAATCGGTGTGCATTCTAGAGTTCATTATCACTGACCTCGCACTCTCGGAGCAGTCTATTGCTTCCATTACTCTGAGCTCCCCCAAGTTACTCGCTCGAGTCCTTGAGATGCACCCACCCAACGCCATCATCACAGACAAGACTTTTCTGCCGCACGTTCTTGCGGCCACTGGTGATGCACACGAGCGCAACCACACGCTTATTGTGGTTGACTGGTCTCAACCTTCGGAGATCCCGATACACTCTTGGGATGCTATTGAATCTCAGGGCAAGGTACCTCAAGCGCCCAAAAATGCTCCTCGTATGTCTATGCATTTTTTACGCACACATTGTCTTGATTACTGTTCAGAGCCCGGTAGCGCATATACTGTCTCATTCTTCGAGACTCCATCAGGTGGGGTGCAGTGTGTGCAGCTCTCGCACGAGAACTTCACTTCCGGAGTGACCGCGATCAAGGCACTCTTCCCCTCGGCCATTAATATTTCTACTCTAGACACCATAGTCTCTAGTCATTCCCTGAGCACTCCATACGGACGTGCCATTGCTTACGCAGCTCTTTTCGAGGGCGCTAGTTTTGCGACTCTACCTTCGACAGGTATCTTCCATGATGGCGGTACGTTTGAACTGGAGTCTATACATCTCAAAATCTGATGGTATATGCACAGATACACCGGCTCTAGATGTGGCTGACATCCTCTCTGCAACTAAGTTTCCGATACCTTCTCCTACAGTCCTCTTCCTCAAGCCCGAACATGTTCAATCGCTTACATCTTCGGTGATAGACCGTGCGAAGAAGTCTTTCTTGTTCCCCCTGGCATGGCGGCACAAATTTGCTAGCCTTACAGAAGGATTCGTTACCAAGGACAGTCTATGGGACCGTACTGTCTTCGGTAGCGCGCGGGAAGATGTACTTGGGAAAATGGCTGACACAGTGAAGGCGGTCGTGATCAGTGGCGGTGTGTTTTGTTCCATTCCCGACGACAGTAGATATTCATCCAATTATAGGACTTTTACCGTCTGACGCGCTGGTGCCTGCTCGCTTGGCGCTCTCCATCCCATTGATCAACACATATGCGCATGGATCTGCCACTGGTCCTCTCTTCGCTACGCATGCATTTGATCTGCAGATGCTCCCTTCCTCATCTCCAGCTACCGAAGCTGCACATGTTGGGGCACCAAGTGTCAATGTTGAGATAAAACTGATCAATGTCAAAGACAACGTAGTCGAACAGGGTGCGGACCCCATTGGCGAAATCTTGGTTCGAGGACCGTCAGTTGGTAACATGCTGTCGGCTGATGGAGAGGCTGGCGAGAAAAATGCTTGGGTGCATACGGGAAAGACAGCACGCGTGATGACGAATGGTGCGTTCAAAGTCCTTGGCTCTGTGTGAAATCATTGTTGTAGAATTAGTTTGTTGCTCGTTTTGATATCTATGCAGTGCTGTTGTGCAATCCCACCAATGTACCCATACTTACATACTCTCCTACTAAAGTGCTGATTCCGATCCTTCACCGCCAAGACCATAACATAAAGTGATCAGGCGCGAGCTGCGCAGCATCATAATGACAACTTGACCACTGCCTTCACCACGATTATGTCTGCGCTTCCAAAGTCTCCCGAGTCCCGTTGCTAAGAAAAGAGTTTTTACTTGGCAAAGTGTCGTTTGCCTCCTCAGTCGCGCACCAAGGAATGATTCAAGCCTCTTGACACTCCACTGACGTCTTTATCGATATCAGTTATGAACTGACTGGAGCCGACTGCCCCAATACGGCGGCTGCAATCGAATTCAGTATTGCGATTGATGTCATGATGCACATGCATACCCGGCTCCAACGTGTTGAAGTGCTACAAGCCCTCGCTTACTACGTGAACCTAGTGTGGAAACACCTGATCATCAGGTGTCTTTATGCGGGACAAGGTCCGCAGGAGCAGTGATGTCATGTGGTGATCATGGTTCTATACGTCATTCGGCCAGAGTTTATATAAAGCACGAAGCCAAGGACAGGTAGAAACCAATATCTTTCAATCCAACTTACTTAGACCTCAAATTATTCATCATGGTATTTTATTTCTGACTGCTTTTGTCCAGACAAGGTCTAATATCGTTTGTTACGCAGGGCTCAATAATCTCAGCTATTGGCGGTGGAATCAGCGCCGTCATATTTGCCATTGCAGATGTTTTAATGGTCATCGTTGGGGCTATCACGACTGTATGTCTATCGCTTACTTGGTAACAAGCGTCGCTGATTATCGCCATTCTGCAGGTTATTGTCACAATATTTGATGTCATCCTCGATATCCTGTGTTGTAGATGCTGCGGCTCACGTCGCGCAGGCAGACGCACAGGTCGTCGACGCGGGCGCAACAGTGTGTATTAGGAGAACGCTAGATGTGGTTGCATTTTACCCTGGGTCTGCAAAAGCTACTTGCATACACGCTTGACTGTGTTCCTGTTATTAATCTATCCATCTGTCCTAATTCCCATGCTATGTTGACGAGTTTTGTAGTTAGCCTATATTTCCAAGCAGTTGACTATATCACATACTCAGTCTGTTGGCACTGTCTTTGAAATTTGAGGTATTCAGGTGGACATTCAAATGATGAGGACAAAGAGCGATTCCGGAAGTGTCACTGATCCTTTCCATCATCGCACACGCTTGGAAAAGGATGGCAAGAGAAATGCTTGGTCGTCCGTCAGGACGTTTAGCGGATAATTATGAGCACGTCCGCATCAAGTATAGGTAGGTTGTGTGAGGAAGATCAAGGTATGGGTAAGTTGATGAATACAGTCTGGGCAAGGACGTTTGTCGAACAGGCTTTGCCTGCGAGAAATGAATTAGGATCTCCTCAGTCACAGTGGTGATCAGCAGCCCGTCTTGCCCCTGATTCTGTACTATACGCAATGGCAGTCTCTTCATCGAGCTGGACGGTCTGGGCCGCGACCACGGCCCCGATCGCCGTGCGAGACCCTCTGTGAGAAACCTTTTCCTTTGCAGTCAACGATCTGTGATTTGTTCTGGAACGCATTTGCAAGTTGCAAGAACGTCCTGCGAGCTTCACTACTCTCAACCGTATGTCGCTGAGGCGTAACACACTGATGCAAAATGGAGAATCCAGTATATTTCAGAGTGCTCAGTCCTCACTGTGCAAAACGCTGGCTGAAACCGAAAATGACGTACGACGCGCACAGAAAAGCCGATACATACCGCGAGACCAATATGATCCGGGTCGAATGCAAAAGCTTCTGGGCTTGTAAGGCACAGTAGCAGGGAGTGTTTTACAGGGCTCCGAACCTGGCTGGCATGCCGGTTCGAGTGAGAGAGAGGCAGTAAACAACTGTCAATCACATACAATTATAATTCAGACAGTCATGTCATGCTTTAAGGTCTACCATGGGCAGTTCTTCATCTAAAGCGGCCCGTAAGCTACCCAAGGAAAAACCATCATGGGCAGGTTCTCGTACACCCTTGAAACCAGACGGGGCTCAAGAAATACGACGTCCAAAACCACTGGCGTTTGAAAATAAGACTGATGGTGCGTATGCCGGAGCTGTTCTGTCACTTATGCTTATGACCTGTTCAAACGTTGTACTAGCGGTCGAGGCCGATGCAAAAGACCCGCAGTTCATGTTCAAGCTAAATCAGCTAGGCCCTGTGCGCGTCGACCATCACATGCGGTCCGTCCGACCAGTGCGTGACCTGTCCGGTACCGAGTGCCGCGCTTACTAGGGTATTATATTGGTTTCCTCACAGGCAGGACTATGCTCAGCAAATGCATCGTTCTCGCCTTCAGTCTGAAATGGAGGCTTCTCCGTCACATTCCACTCGAAATCGCTTACTGGCCTCATCGTTGAGCGAATTATTGGAGTCCCGGAAAACAGTCAAATCTCAAGCAGAACTTCAGGCCTTAGCAGAGCAGTATCATATCGACGTTACCAAGCTGGACGAGCTCGCGAAGTTTGTCAACACGCCCTCCATTGACGAAAGCACCATAGTAAAGAGCACGAACCAGGAAGGGGAGGAAACTCTGACAATGATGGTGAGTCCGTCAGTGTCCTACTAAGAGTACGAATGAAATTATTGTATTCAGGCTCGCTGGGTCGACCCAAAACTTGAAACGTGATGGAGGTTGATAATCTTTTGATTATTCTTAGTCGTGCCACACTTTCTCTGATAATACAAGTCCCGTAGTATTTACTTACAAAATAGAGATGTTAAAATGACAGAAAAAATTACAATACAAATGGTGAACAGTCTTACATACTAGAAAAAAACGTGCTGAGCGTTCGCCTGCGTCGACTCGGTGGGGCAGTATGGACATTTGACACGTCTGAAACCATCATGAGTCAAGAAAACCAGCACCCGAGGGGCACAAAGACGTACCCGTTGGACTTGCATAATTTTTGCAAACTTTCCTTCGTTATGACGTGCCCACATGTCATCATCATCGGGGGGTTCTGCTCAGTAGATTGTTCCTTGGATACTGGGCAAGCAAAAATGGAATGATAGCGGCTCTCTGGTGCGAGCTGAATTTCAATCTGGAGATGCAGTGAGACAAAATTGGCCTCAGCAAAGAAAAAAGTACAAACAGGCAACTCGTCGCTCTGACTCCATTCACTCTTGCGCTCTTTCATTACCGTCCGAGCTTTCTCAATTCTGGCCAGGGCGCCTCCACCACCAATATCACCTATGACTCTCAATGGTACTTGTCGACTCATGCCAAGATTCGTGCAGTATTCCTTGGCGAAAAGTGGCTCGAGGTCTGTATGCACCGAGTCTGAAGCCAAGTCTGCGTACGGTGACCGCTGAAGGCGTTCCTTCGGGAGATACAAAACGGAAGTCATGAGTCTCTGAAACTCTGTTGCGTGCTCTGGATAGAAGCTGCGCAATGTAGCATTTGCGTACGATATGGCAGGGCCAGCATCTAGTGGTTCTGCCAAGAGGAGACGTATGAATTGAGAACGGTGCAGATAGAACTCCAGCGGCGACGATCGTTTCCGGAGAAAATCGCGGTTCTTCAGCGACCACCTAGAAGCAGTACACATGAGAAAGGGTAATGTCAGAGCCATGAAACGTGGCGCACTCTAATGCAGGCCCTATATCCTGTCTCTTTAATGCCAATACTATGCGGTGCAAGTCCTGAAACTTGGTTCGTTGCTCAGGTTCGATGACCAACTTGCACTCCTGGGAACGATTTCAGCTAAATCTCAGACACCTCGACATTTACTTACTTGAATGAATGTCTCCGCTGTTGAAAACTGCCCGGTGCGCAAAAAATGCAGGGCAATAGTTCTCTCAAGAGCCGCTTGCGCATCCTTCGATGTGAATAGAGGATCATACGTCGGAAGGGGTTGAGTGAATTTCTGTGTCGTGTGAGCTCATGTTCGCCGATATGGAGGATTAACAGAACATGCAGACCTTATCCAGGGCCTTCCCAAGTCTTGCAATTCCGTTGTAAATCTCCCTCTGCTTCTCGTCTATTTCCTTCTTCTTTGCTTCGACAGTTTGTGCTAGAAGGACATAGGTATCCTCTGTAACGCTCCCTGCATTGATGCGATCCTTTACTTCTCGGAGAGATTGAAGAAGAGAGTCCAAAGAGTTCTCGATAGATGGTGTTTTCCCTTTAGCTCTCTCTGTGAGCCTTTCGAGCTTGAACAGTTCTTTAAGTGGTCCGTCCATGAACGTGCTGGCGCTAAGCTGCGTAAGGAGGTCATCGAAATGCTGATTTACAAAAATGGTAATTTGTCACAGCATATACATCGTCACGCGCTGGTTCTGTCACGCCAATGATGCCTCGATTTCTCGTCGGTGATGAACTGGGCAACATAAAATCGGTGGGGTACAACCCAGCTTCGCAAGAGGAATCAAAAACAACCTTTAAAATTCTTCATGATGGTACTGTCACTGGCAGAACTAAAGGCATTCAAAAACTCGCGCTGAACGCGGGGGAGAAGACATTGGTGCGTCCAGACAGCTCTTTGCATTAGTAAAGCATCTAATGCTGAGGGATAGCTATCAGCTGCTCATGCTAATGGAGCGGTTTCAATTTTCTCCTCGAATGAAGATGATCAACTCGAGTTACTCCAAGAGTGGAAGGAAACTCGAATCAAAAGCGATCAGTCTTTCATCGGTCTTGCTGCTTCAGGCAGGTGAGTTTCTTGTATTCAAGTCACTTGCTTGATGGTTCTGAAGCGGCAAAGCTCTGTATTCTCCTGTACTACCAATGGCGCCCTGCTAATGTCGACTTTGAAGGATGATAATAGTGGTGTTAGCCATAATCTTGCTGCCTTGCCGTCTCGACTATGCGACTGGCGTCTCTCACATGACAAACAGACTGTTTGCATACGGAGGCGACGAGGTAGAAGTATCTCTCTGGGATACAGAGCGTGCATTTTCCCGTCCGTCTGAAAGTTCCGCAAAAGGTGCACCAGTTAATGGTAGCAAAAAACGGAAACAAAGCGATACACTTTTTCCTGGGGAAGTTTGGCGCGCCAAAAATGTCCCAAATGATTTTCTCGGACTGCGGCAGCCCGTTCACAATACATGTTTAACTTACCTCTCGCCATCAACATCTACGAGCCAACAGCATCTTCTTGCAGGCACACGTCTCGGTGATATGCGTCGTTACGACACTCGTGCTGGGCGGCGACCTGTCGCTGTGTTTAAGGGAGTAGGGAAGGTTGGTGGCGTAAAAACAGTAGAGAAGGGATTCTCAGAACAGTCGGTGTTTCTTTGATCGACCCTCTGATTGACTTTACTGACCACTACATGATCAGTGAGGCCTTCATCTCAGACAACGGCTCAAATGTGTATGCGGTTGACTTACGGAATGGGAGTATCTCATATGGGTACAAAGGTCTGTTCTCCTGATTACGTTTCCTGCTAATTCTCGTTGACTGATTTTTTGATATCCTAGGCCTATCGGGCACTGCCATCTCACTGGCTGCATCCCCAACCTACTTAGCTTCGGCGTCGATAGATCGATATATACGCATACACAGCGTTGTCCAACTTCCTGATAAAGTTGGGCAGCACCTTGACAAGAAGGGCACGGTTTTAGAGCGCGTCTTCATGACAACAATACCGACGGCTGTTGTTTGGGACCAAGAACAAGATATCGCCCCCGTAAATGAGGATGAACAGGGAGGAGAGGATGTATGGGAAGGTATGAAAAATGCTGAAGAGGGCGATGAAAAGGCTTGAGTGGTCTGCTCGTTTTTCGCAGTCCCACGTCTCATTCAGGAAGTTCATATAATTTTGCATTATCAATACTTTACTTTCGTCGATAAGCAAGGTCCCTTGAAAGATGAAGCGACATTTTTCATCACACCTTGTATATCAGGCGATCCAAAGGATTGAATCTGATAATACATCCCTGCATTATCACTCCTAGGAAATGGTCCACTCGGTCCAATGGGTTGCTAACTCACCATATCTCCAAGAAAACGAGCTCTCGGCGTTCGTATACATGTACTCCACAGCCCCATTGTCGCCTAGTTCACACAGTCGGAACAAATTACGCGCCAAGGTCTTTGTGCGGGGTGCGCCAAGTTGGCAATGCATAATGGGAAGTTGATCAATGAGTTCTTCCACAGGGTGAAACACTACTACTTATATGCGCTGTTCGAAGAGTGCACGTCATCATGCGTGTCGTACAACTGCATGAACATGACTTCATGCACGTGTCCCAGAACATGGAAGTGAAGTACTCTGCTGGACCTCGTGTGGCACCTCAAATTTGGCTCGCAGCAAAGGCCTTCATCGGTTGGTTGACAATCCGCTGCGTACCCCGACACCCGAGCTTGAAAATCCTTCTCAATCTGGACATGAAGGCCACCACAACCTGACGATAGAAGATCTCGCCCTCCGCTTTGGTGTCGGGTGAGTGGAGGAGGTTGCCGACGACCTTTTTGGCAGCGGTTGGGTCGATGGAGACGAGCCCTTCTGCAAAGAAATTGCTGGTGACCTGCGATACCAGATGGGGAAGCAGTTCTGCGCGGGTATCACCACAAATAGGCTGTGATTGTATTAGGCTTCTATTTCGTACAGTAAAGGAGGCAGGCTATGGTGGGGTCCTCTATGTAGCTCGTCCGCGTAGTGCTCGGCATGGCTGGGATCACGAGATACTTGCGCGCATTGAGCCCGAAATGAGCGTATGTCTGTAGTAGGAATTCAACGTCATGCCGGCCTGTGGTAAGAGCACTGAAAATGATGTTCCATCAAAAATGTCAGCCTCTTACACGCCTCATAGCAAGAATCTCGTCCCAATGAGGTCGGGCTGCACGTGACTTGATGTTAAGTATTTACCTAATTGTGAAACTGGCTGTCAGTGGTTGTTAGTCACTGACTTTATGTTATATGGAGGACGACACCCTCGCACAGATAAAATCTGTAGTCGATAGCCTGCAGTCTCCCATATCTGACCTCCAAATTCTTTTGTCGTTACTTTGTCGACCTTTGGACTACATAGGCCTTCTTCCGCCACAATGCCGCCAGTTCAATCTCGAGCCGCTCCAAGGATCGCGAGTCCCTGATATCGCAAAAGCCTTTCCTCCGCTTCAAAGAGTGTTAATTGAGCAAGTTTTACCTACGTGGTCGACAGTCCTTGCTAATGAAGGTCATCTGCTTCTCGCCGATCAATATTTCTGCCCCGATACATTTTCTTTTGCACTATCTGCTGCAGGGGATGTGGTGCTTTGCGCTTATTCCACATTGCTCTCTTCAGTGATCACAGAGGAATCTATTAGATTACTAGCCAAGTTGTCGACTCAGTATCCTATTGACAGACTTCATACCGCTGCTTTCGCTGGCAACGATCTATCAGCCAGGAATTCGGTCAGATGGGATGACTGTCTCAAAAACGTTTTTGCAGTCCCATTAAAAGCTGCCAATGCAGTTGGCACGCGAGATTTGCCCCCAGAACTTGAGCTCGCGACCTACTTCAATGGCTTCAGCAGCGGTACGGAACGTTTAATATCCACTCTTTCCCGTTCCCCATCGCAGGGTGTGTTTTTTCATGTTATATCTGATATACGTATGACGTATGTTCAGATAGGACGATGTCTGTCACACAACTTCTGATAAAACTCGTAAATGTCGGCGTGTTTCCATCTTCATCATTCTTACCACTGTCCCAACCATCCTTCTTTCGTTCCACGCTAGTCACAATCCGCACGAAGTTTAAACTGGATAATGACCACAGCTACTCCAAGTTCTGGACAAATGTACTCATTGATCTCCCATCCACGGTTGCCCAGCAGACCATATTCGCCTCGTTGTGTTATTCTCTGGCGCAGTTACCTAGTAACTTAAGTGTTACTGCGCAAGACAGAGGCATTGTCGTGCAAGAATCCTTATTGCTTCGCGCCATGTTCGGAACTCTCCAGCCAGAATCAGATGTATGGAATGCGGTATTGGGTGTTGTATTATCCCGCGATTGGAAAGAGAGCCATGCCAGGATTTTCGTCAGCTGGGCGGCCGGTGCAAAAACAGGTCCAATAAACTCTAAAGGTCAGTGTTTTGATCAGATTCTCGTGGACACAGTGTTGACCGTGATGCTCCAGCACTCCAGGCCTTATTGTCACGTACTTTGGAAATGTGGTGCACTCCAGAGCACATCAAGCACTCACTGCTGTTGCGGCATCATTGTGAGTATATCTTGTTGTAAAGTCGATTTCAGTAATTGATCACTTCACATGGATCAGATGTTACATCACTGCTACTTCTCATTGTATCGTATTTCCCTCATCAATCAGAATATGTGGTGTCAACTGCGCTTTCGCCTAGCTTCGTCACAGCAGTCGGTCAATATATCAGTCATCTAGATCAGAGCATTCGTCGATGTGGGATGCTGGCAGCTGAAGTGGTTGCAACGCGTGCAGGCAAGAACTTGGATTTCGGAGACTGGGATGGAGACGCCGACGGGAAGCCCTGGGCCAGAGACCTAAGAGCACTTTGTTCGGCTCGAGACATTGATTTTGACCCCTGCGCAGTGGATGAATTGGAGGCAGCCACGGAGGAGAACGCCCTAACAGAAGAGATTATTACTGCTGGTGTCCTGGAAGATACAAAAATATCAGCATTGAAACTCACAAAGGCTAGTGTCGCGACCGGCTACGACTCGGACGACTCACTTACAGGCTACGCATCGCCAACCTCCTCCCGGTCCGCGTCACCCACTCCCTCTGAGCTCGACGAGATGGAGAAAGATCCTACTTTACGTGTTGGAGTCAAGAAAATTCTACGACCTGTGTACCTTGCGCAACTAGGCGAGATGGTGCGGAACGCTAGAGTGAAGCCCGGCGAAGAGAGTCAGGAAGCCGACAAAATTGAAATGGCCCTTAACGTTGCAGAAGAGCTGATCAGGAAAAAGAGAGATTATGGGAGTGAACTTGGTGGGTTCGGCATGGCATTACATACTTCAAGAACTGACCGCTACGCAGAGGAAAACGCTGCTAATTTGGTTTATGGTTTCACTTCGCTGAACGACAACTTCGAAATTGTCGGCTTCGAGAACAAGCGTCAGCGTGCCATCAATGCTCTGGTAGCGTGCTGCCCTCGAGTCTCTGCTGGGTAAGTTTCTTTGCAAGCTATGATGGACAAACACGTATGATGAAATTCCCCACAGGTGCATCATCGAAGAATTTTTCAGTAATCAGTATTCTACTGAGCAACGCTTTGTCATACTCAACGGCCTTGTGCTTGGAGCACGAGAACTGGCGTCGCTCCCCGTCCATTCTGCAAACTTGCAGCCTCTTAATAATCAGCGCACCGCATTTCCTAGCAAAACTTTGCCTCCTGCCCTTCATCAGAAATATCTCACTGTTGATGGTCAAGCCAATGGAACTGTTCAAGGCTTGCTTGAGGGTGTCACACGGGCAGCAATTGACAGAGGAAAGGAAGCTACCGCCGACAAAGTGCCAGAGTTCGTACGAGAACGGCAGTTGCGCATAAGGAAATCTAAAGTTGCTGAAGTGTCGCCTGCAGAAAGGCGAAGTCGAACTCTTTTGCCAGGCCACATTTCGCAACCTCACCGAACTGCATTCATAGACGTCGCAGCTGAATACTTCATCATGCCATTTATCAACCGTTTCTGGGCATTCCTCCGCAACGAACAGACACGCGAGGAGAGAACAGCACACCGTGATGCTCTGTATCGGTATCACGGTGCTGGCACAGGTCTTGTCCTCAACGCCGTTGTTCTGTCACAATTCATGAGCTCTCTGGCGTTGCTGGTACATGCAGCACAGAATGCTCCGCAATGGTTGTCTATTATTGCACCAGGTGCACTGGAGCTCGCGGTCACCTTGGGGACTCGACCGATCTCAAGGGCTGCTAACGATGACACGGACTCGACTGGACTAACTGGGGAAGCTCGGGGAAAGGAAGCTTCGGTCCTCACGGCTGCTCTTGAACTTTCTTTGATTGTCCTGGATGGTTGTCTCGAGCTCGATGGGGGACGCTCGCTCGGGCTTGAGCACACTGCACTACTGTTGGGTGCTGGAGAGTGGGCTGGGAGGATTTTTGAGCTACTTGAGAAGGGCACTCTGGTAGAAGGTGGCGGGGGAGGGCATGAGGTTCGATTGCGTAGAGCTGCTGCAGGGGTATTGCTGAAGGTCGATGAATTGACCTCAAAATGGCGAAGGTCAATGGTGGATGTCCGATAGTCGATGCATGCGAGACATTTGTCTCCAGAAATCTCTTGTTAGTGCGTTACCGCCTACGGGTTGACTCAAGTATAGTACATGCGGGGTACAAATGTTGCTAATTTATGTTACTTTGTATCTAATGCCAGTAATTGGCAGAGATGGCCTTGACAGAAAGCCAAGCATCATCCAAGGCTTTCACAACCTCATCGGCTGTGAAGAGCAGTTTAGTCGTATGACAAAATAGTAAGAGCTGTGTTGAGCTCACGTAAAGGGCCCTTTTCGAGATCCAAAAGGTTCTGAAAATGATCGATTCGTATGTGTTGAGCCAGAAATTATGTGCATGACCATACCTGCTCCGTGTGCTTCGCACTAGATGCTCCGATAATCACTGCGTCGCCAGTTTCACGAGACAGACAGCTGTGGTGAGAGATCCACCGCAAAGCCACTTCAGGCACCGTCAAATTGTACGCTTCAGCAACCTCGCGGACCAACTTGACAGCAGCAAAGTAGGTGTTATTCCAATACCTGCACTGTGTCAAATGCGAAACTTCCTATCCTCGAATGAAGTTTACCTGTTACGATGGAACTACGAAGTACAAAATCAGCTCTGAAGACAAGATAACGCAGAGAAGTAGAAGAGACCTCGCCCTGCATTCTGCCAGGATCAAATCGGCTACCTGCCTCAGCCTGATCGTCTTGGCTGATGTATCGACCAGTAAAGAAGCCTCCTGCAACTAAATCAAATGGCTCAGGCTCATGCGTAGCAATACTACAGGGAAAATGCGTACGAGGACTGAAGGCGTAGAAGCTTATACCATATTTGCGTAAGCAGCTGAACAGTTCCGGTTCTACGGTTCTACGGGCCAGCTGTATAAGCACAATAGAAGGCGAGATACTCAATAGCAAACCTTTGTATCGCATTGTAAGCGCCTTGGTACACAGTAGGTTGGATATACCCATTTGACCTGCATATTTCCATTATTTGCGCTACTTCCCAACTATGCAAGAGGGGATTAGGACCTAGGATTGGCAATCACATTGAAAGATACTGACGACATATAATTGCTGATGCCAAAAGTTTTAAAATACCCTTCTTTGTATAGTTCGTTAACAGCTTTTAGAGTGACCTCGTATGGTATAGTGCGGTCAGGACCGTGAAGATACCACATGTCAACTTTGCTGAATGACATTATCAGGTCGTGGGCTTGCAATAGCGAGGATCACTTACTCGGTGTTCAGGGCCTTCAAGGATGCCATGAGATTCAGGCGCAAACCCTTGAATGTTCAAGCATAAACAATTGTAGCAACGGAGTGCAGGAAGCGGAATGGGTTCACCTCTGGGGAGTGATCGTACAGCTGGCCCTCCTCAGTAGGGAGGCCCATCCGCTAAGAGACCTGTTGAGCCGACTTGAAAGAACAGAAAAGCTGGACGTTACAGAATGTGGATAGTGCTTGGTGTCCATGATCAAACTCCGGTTCTGCCAGTTGATTTTTCCGAGATATTCTTCACTGGTGCCGAATGCATAAATGCGTGCAGTGTCGACCTGAAGAAAATCAGTGTATTGCAATGCATGGCTGACTGACGTAAGATCAACCTCATTGTGCCCATGGCTCTGAAAGATGTCGAGGATAGTTTCCACGTCTTTGAGTTCGTGAACTCGAGCGCCTTCAGATCCTTCTACGCCAAACGTCATAGCACCCTGAAGATAACTTAGCACTGTCATCATGAACGAGTGACTAAATATCGACCATTACGATCTTCAAGGCGCTCTTTGGGCTGATAGTTGCAGACATGGTTGTTAGAATGTGAGCTGAACTAGTAGTATTATGTGTGGATTGTCGTTCTCAGTGGGCGTGTTAAGTTTGAACTTATAAGTAGTGCCATGCCGAAAGGTGATACATAGCGTGCATAAGCCTTCGGCAAAAGATAGCTTGAATTGAATGGGGTGGTCAGACTGTTTGACCGGTGCCAAGCCAGATTGATGACCGTCTGACAAACCAACACCGTGTTATTATTATTCCCGCGCTACTTCTTACCGTGGCTGTGCAGGCCTCTCAGGAGAACTTTATGCCGCCCCAGAGCGTTGTCGCTCATGCACATGTGTCTTCATCTATTACTATGACTCGGATTTCGTTCATCGTTCGTCTTCCTGTTTCTGTCGCGTTTGATATAGCATCGCAGTTCTTCAACTGCCCACTCGCTCAGCCATTCAAGTTTAGGTTCTCGGTTCACTGAAATCCTCACGGCCTCTTATGAGGGTCTATCATCTTGCTCGTTAATGAGCTTCTTAAGCATTTTCATTTGTTTATTTGTTGGACTTGTTTTCTTTGCATTTACTATCACCTACGTACCGTACGGTATCTTGACCAATTTGATCATGAATCTGGATTTTGAATTTGAGTGGGAGCAGCAGGGCTGTGTGTTCTGAACCTCGTGGCGCAGAACTTGCCTTAACAGTACTAGGGTGACCACGCTCAGGCTGCTTCTGCTTCTCCCAAACACATGAGCCACTCACCTTTCACCCTCTCTGCCTCGTGTCCCAACCCTTGTCGACACCCAAGGCAGTGAAATGGCCTTCAAAAGCAAAACCGTCAAGCGTTTCAGCGTTCGCGGTTTCCTCGCAGCGATCCTGCACCCATTCATGACATCCCCAACCGACGCCCCTGGGGTGTTCACCTCGGGCGATAGCTACAACAACGTAGGAGATTGGCACACGCTGCTCTTGAACAACGAGCTTTCTTCACAGTGCGAGCTCGAACGCATGGTCTGCTGCAAATGCACCACCAGCGTCGAACATGAATTCTTGCTCCTACACTTCCGCCATCCGACGCAACACCACGCTGTCGCTATCCTAGTGTTGGACAGGACATTTCGTCCGGATTCTACAGAGAATAATAACGGCAATGGCTCGTCGAGATCGGTTGGCACTGGCCAATCAACCATACTCTCCCCCTCGGTATCTGCAACCCCCGCCCACGATTCCATCTTCACCACCCCCAATCACGGCTCTGCAATCGAATCATACCTCACTAAACGATATGGCGAGCACAAGCACCTTGGTAACCTCGACTTTTCCGCTTCCGCTCGTCCTTCGGCGATGCAAGTATCCGTGCTGTTGTGCGTGCTCCGCAAGCATTCCCCAACTTATCATCTGTGGCAATACCAGTGTTACTGGTATGCCTACACTGTTTGGGAGGCCCTCAAGAGGCTTTTTCCTGGGTGCCGGGAGACAACGCTGAGCGAGGGGCGCTCTCGCTTTTGCGGACAGGAGATTAGGAAGGCGGAGAGTGTTGAGGCGGTGTGTGAGCTGTATCGCGCCGAGTGGGCGCGTTTTGAGAATGCGGCGGAGGAGAGGAGGAGGGCGAAGGAGGAGGAGGTGCGCCGGGTGAGTGTTCTTTTTTGGGATTGGTTGGGCTGTTTACTTATTTGTTTTTACAGTTGAGGATGGAAGGTTTGGTGGAGGGACGGGCTCAACGTCAACTAGAGGTTGACGAAGCGGAGAGGAGAGCAGACGAAGAGAGGAGGCAAAGGGAGGAAGCGGAGAGGAAGTACGAGGCTGAACTGAACCGAATGCGAGCAAGAATGGCCGAGCTCGAGCGCCGTGCAGTGTGATACTGGTGTAACGATTGCTCTCATTTCCTCGTCATCGACATCCTCCTCACTAATAGATCCAGTTGCAATGTACATTACTATTAGAACATATTAGATATGACCTTCCTGTCTCAGACTCTCGATCGGCATGTAACTTTGACTCTGGACGAAAGTGTTTACTACCGGTAACGCAGATTCGTCCGCTTTCAAGTTAAAGGATACATCAAGGATGCATTGCAGTTGCATTCGTGAACGAGCTGCCGATTGTGGAGCACGCGGCTAGACTTCACAGATCTGACTCGGAAGGAAACCAATGCCATGATTTGTATCGTATTGGCCTGTAGTACAGGGCCCGTCGGTCGTACTGGCCGCGGCGCCACCAGTAATATCCTAGCAGTAAACAAAACCACGCTTGAACGTTGAGCAGGAGCATCGATGCATCATCTCTCGGATAGTGCAATTCAACACATCGCGGCCGATCCTTTCATGCATCGCCTCAAAGAATGCCATACGCCCCAACCACTGTTTGTCTGACCTCAATGTATGTGTGATAGACGAGACTGAACTGCAGCTGCTCATTCTGCACCTCCGGGAAATCGTGTGTGACTTGTATTCGCAGGATCATGATTGGTCTAAAGTATACATAGGAGGCAATATGCCGTATCCAGTCCAGATCGTGTGAATTTCAGGACTCTCATCCTACTGTTCCGACAAACCCTCATCACACTTCCGCTCGCTGGTGGACAATGCTTGCAACCACTTTATTGAGGCGTTCAGCAACTTCAACTCCTTCAGTTTTTGGGAGGGCCTTCTCGAACTCGTGCGCGCGCCGCTCAGATGCATTATTCATGGTAGGTGAATCTTCTATTTTGAACTGAAAAGTTATTAAATGCGGACAGCACCGCGACACGGAGTACAACAACCCAAAGGTATGTGTTCCACGTTAGCGACCTTTATACTTACTCACAATATTTCTCTGAGCAGATACCCTTCGCATTCACAGCAGACAACGTGAAGAGGGCCGAAGAGATCATCTCTAGATATCCTCCGCAATATAAGAAGGCTGCAGTCATTCCTCTCCTTGACCTCGGGCAACGGCAGAACAAGGGATGGACGAGCATCAGCGTTATGAACTATGTCGCAAAGTTGCTCGGGATGCCCCCAATGCGGGTGTACGAGGTCGCGACCTTCTATACCATGTTCAACCGGTGCGTCAACCACGCGGCACTAGTCAGAGGTCTGCTCTACTGACTACTGTATTGGCGCAGTGAACCAATTGGGGAGAATTTCGTGCAAGTCTGTACCACCACACCATGCATGCTGAGTGGTTCCACGGAGATTTTGAACACGGTTTGCAGTCAACTGGGTGGAATAACACCAGGAGCCACGACAGCCGATGGTAAATTCACAGTTGTTGAAGTTGAATGCCAAGGTGCTTGCAGTAATGCACCTATGATGGTCGTGAATGATGATTTCTACGTTCGTCGCCTTTCCATTGCTCGCAAAACGTGAGCTGAACTGAGTCCAGGAGGATCTGACACCGGCAACCACAAAGAAAGTCCTAGAGGCTTTCGCAAAGGGCCAAAAACCGAAACCGGGACCGCAAAGTGGGCGAAAGACAAGCGAAAACTCTGCTGGACTTACCTCGCTTACATCGAAAGTAAGTTCGCTTCATACAGGCAATATCATGTCATTGAATATCTGTTACTAGCCCTATGGACCAGGAGAGTTCTGCACACCGGAGTTTAGCTAGATATTCCTAGAACTATCTTTGATGGTAATGATTTGAAAAAAGAAACAAAGTGTGAAGTCCTATCACTGTTCAAAATTACCCGAGATGTTTAGTCGTCGCCCTCTCCGTCGTCATAACCGTGTGCGCCGTGTCCACCCTCCGGAAGCCTTTCAATCATAAACCTGCCCAAGAAGTGGTAGTCGGAACACAAGATCAAGACATGGAACTTACTCAATCTCCTCTCTCAAGTCGTCACAGTAAGTGTCTGTATGCAAGTTAATAATAATAAAAGGCGCTGAATTGCACCGAGACGCACCAAGAGGTAAGTCATGCGCGTCACATCCTAATGCTGTTTTCAGCAACATAATTGTTTGTCCGTGCAGAACACTTACCAAAAGGCATCTCGATCTCATCTGCGATACCCTCGATGCCCATTAATGTAAAGGCAACTACAGTAACGATGGGAATTGTGCTCCAGCCGAGGTCATTCACGAGGGTGAATGGCAGGGCAAACAGGTATAAAGTTACACATTGCTTTAAATGGATTCCATCTAGAGCGCTATCAGTAATTGTTGGGGATGCCAATAAAGATTGAACTCGCAAGGCGCGGGTATAGGGGTATTCGCCACCCTCTCCATCGAAGTCATTTGGTCAACCATTGACTGCACCCTGGAGAAAGATGAGATAGTTTTCAGTGGACAAACACATCTGACTTACAACCCACTCATGGCATTCATGCCTGAGTATCAGTACAATATTAAGCGTCAAGATTGAGAATTATGTCAGGGTATCCTACCTGCCGGACCAACAGTTTCAAGCAAACCTTCCCGCTTAAACCTGAAGATGGCGCTAGACAGCTCATGAGCGATACTGTTGTTATTGGTCAGTTGTAGTGTGACGTATGAAATTTTCTTACGAACAGGAGGGGAAATGGGATAGACATTCGATCAGCGTAGGGGTGGAACTCGACAGTTTGATGAGAATTTGAAAGCAGCGGGGTAGTTGAAGCTGACGCGGTGGCATGGCCAACGAGCATTTTCTTGCTGCGCTTCCGACGAACTCTCTTAGTGGCATCAGGGCTGTTGTGTGCACTATCCGAAGCTGATGAAGTAGCATCATAGGACTTAGGAGAGGGTCTGTCTTGAGCTGTGGTATAACCAAGGTCGTGGATTCGCGTGAAAGATGCGGAAAGAATGCCAGTATAATCATCGTAATCAGGCCCATCTTCATTGCGGAGGTAGTGCTTGACAGCAAATGCAAAAGCGACGCAAAATTGCAGGACTTCTATCTTCTGACGCTTGAGTTGAGCGGTGGTAAGTGCAGACGTCGGTGTTTTTCCGAGAACGTGAGAGGGGTGATCTTCGGCAGGAGGTAGCGAGACATGAATCCATATCATACGAGACAAGTTGCGGACCTAGAGAAGACTCAATGAAGATGAATACAGGCAATTATTGAACCCTACGTTAGACGTGACGGACGAGAAGCACTTTCGACCTTCCCAGAAACGGTCGTATGAAGTGCTAGGCAGAGATCAAATACTGTCCTCGGTAACTTCATGCTTTACTCACCTATTTCTGTAGAGAGCTGAGCTGGTCAACGTCGTTGGCTATGCATACGACTCACCTGAATACGAGAATCAAACCAACCTGGGGATTGTGACATGTCAGCATATTCATGGGTTAGCAACATTCGCTAGTACTTACCACCACAGACAACAGTGGCACGACCGAATTTGTCAAGACCACTCTCTTCCCTTTGGACCACGCATAGGCAACCAACGCAGCAAATATGGTGACAGTCAAAACTGGACCAATTATACGACCGATGATCTATATCATGGGCATGTTAGTCACTGCGTTTTCTCATGCCAACAACACGTACGCTGCCTTTTAATCGCAATACATCGGGAAGCCACGAGTACTGCACGGCGTCAGCCAAAGAGAAGCAGAGTAAAATTTCAAATAACCTTGCGTAGGTACTTCCTTTTGATCCTTGGGGACTATCATCTAATTGGTTGGACAAAGACGGATGATCATGTTGAAATCTTACCTTGAAGGCTGCCAAGGTGAACTTCGAACTCTGGCGGGACTCCATGCTGTCTACTGGCAGATGGCCCAAACACTGTGGGAGACACCACAAGAGTTGTGTCGGAGCCCGACGGTCTTGTGCACGTGTTGTGGGTTTGCTAGTTATATGGCATATACTAAAAAGGCCCGCGGGTAGTTACCGTATTAATACATCGTTGCATCATTATCAAGCCAGCAAATCCCCTCAAATCCCTCAGTCTACATATAAAGGCAGAAGGTCTGCATATGGTCACTAAGGGCACTGAATTGACGATCAAAAGTTATAACTCTCCTCGACAGCTTACAACGTTTAGTTGAAGTGTCAAATATTTCACGCTGCGTCGATAATAATAATCCAATAAATCGTCCAGTTGAGGCTGATATGTCTATACTATTTACTATTGCCCACAGGCTGTCCGAAGGGTGATAAAACAATACTGGACAGGAGTGCGATATTAATCTACCAAGTATTAATGTGTCGATGAGATGTTTGCAAGTTATGCTATGACACGTCTGGGTGATCGTAAAAATAGTGGCGAAGAAAACAAATAAAAACTGCAGGTGCGTTACAAAGCGGGGACGGGTGACAGATCCGGTGTGTCATCTTCTGAATGCGTATATGCAGCGGGATATAGGGGAATAGGCTTGATGAGAGGTGTCGCAAGTGTTTCCTCCGCATGTGGGCACAGGTCAGGAAGAAATTGAGGGTGTGTCGGTAGAACGTGCAGAAATCCTTGTGAAAACAAGTCCTGAGCGTACGAGGAAGCATTGTAGGCATGAGAGTAGGACAGCCGCCGAGCGTGGTGCCGGTCCTCGCGCTCCGGGTGAAAATCGCTCAAAAAGTTCACGTTGAAGGAAGGCTCGCTACTATTATCTGAGAGTGAGAGCAAAAGTTCTGCAGTGTGCGCATGGGGTGTATACGAATCTGAGTCCGGAGGTGAGCCAGTTGTATGGGCATTGACCGGCCAGCCCCAGCATCCGTCGACGTTCTCCGGAACAACCCGTCGTTTTTCGAGACGCGTGATCTGCGGAGGCTGCAAAGGAGTGTGGAGGAGTTGGTCTACTGGAGTTAGTGGATAGTTGCAGGAAAAGTCCATCATGGTAAGATTGGAACCATCGTGAGTGACAACACATGCAGGGGAGCAATGAACTTCGGAAGAGTAGACGGTGGTGGGCTCTTCCAATTGCCGGCTGAGTGGGGCCAGCTTGTTGCCGAGTCGTCTCAAAGACAGCGAGAATTCAGAATCAGAGCTGACTGAATTTTCTGTTGGAATCCCCATCGGCAAAGTCGGTCCGACCTGAGGAACCATCGAGGCGTTGGATACCTTCTCTTGTTCACCAAACAAATGGCGTCTGTTGTCGGCGTGATAGTATGTGAAGTAGGATTCGTTGGCAGAATTAGCAGACGTGGCACCTCGCTTTTGTTCTTCGAGCCCATCCCGGACGATACCACTGAAAGGTGAAGCCTGATCGGAGAACAAAGACAGAGGCGGGGTAGTATCTGTTTGGATTCCCGCAGAAGATAGCGCCGGCTCTTCTCGGTCAGGATGCTCCTGAGTTAGCTGCGAGATCTCCAAGAACAATACGCGCTCTGCGAGGTGCAATTCAGTAGGAAAGCATACCGACACTGAGATAACAGACTGATTGGATCGCTCTTGTACTTTTTCTTCAGTCGTTGAAGATGACTTGATACTTGCTTTCGAGTACGGTTCTTGCCGGTCTTCTCCAGAATGTACGACTGAATGAGTTGACACCGACCGAACGACTTGACGAGGTGGGACGACTCCGCGGTTTCGTCTCGATCCTCCTTTAGGATACGTACGTATCTGAGTCGCCGCTTACCCATTGGCGGGTAGATGGCAATAGCTTGAACATACTCTCAGCTACGATTGTACAAGAACGTCAATTTCGGTGACGGATGCGCTCCCTACCTTCCATGAATGCAGCGTGCACGTCCTCACTCCATATATCATCATACCGAGATTGCTTTAGTTTGACGTTCGACAATTTCGTCTTGATACCGAGAGCGGCGGGGACAACAGGTACCTCCCATGACTCGGGCAGGAGTAACAGTGGTGCGACTTCCCCCTTGATAGATTCCATTGATTGCTCCAGTTGAATTCCAGGTTTTGGGTAGCGCAGGAGGGCGGCGTGTACACAATAAGTATTACAAGAAGGCGCACAAGAAGGGGGTCAACCTGGAATTTCGTTGGCAGTTGGCTTGAAATACGTCTGCGCGACAATCAAATTTAAACTCCGCGTCAATCACATGATGGAAAGATTATTATCACGTGATAATCAATATCTTGACGCGTGAAGTGCTTAATGCGGCGGCTCTACATCTCCCACTGTGAACCCACGCAAGGGCGACAGACCAAGGATAACACCTGTTCTCATATTACTCCAAACTACTCTTGTGTGAATGACGGAACTTGACAAGGCTATAGAGGCGCTCAAAGCTGCCGTCAAGCAAAGCGGAATCGACAAGCGCGTCGGCGATGTTGTCAGCCAGTTTACTTCGTACCTTATTCTCTTGGTGAGTGATAAACCTCGTATCGAAAACGAGCGCTTACAATTATTTCAGAAATCGTCGTCTCCTTCCTCACAATCAATATCAAAACTTTGTTCTATCCTTCGTCGACCTCTAGTTCCCTTGTATGCTGCCGTTCCCGGACCTGCGCTCCAGCTTTCCTCTGCTGTACTTCGCAAAGTAGTCGATGAAAAACTGAGAAATGCCCTGAATGCTCGAAATCTTCAACTAAGCGCCTGGTGGAATGACGTTGCAGTTGCGCTTTTATCAGGTGTCCTGGTATGATCTCACTTCTTGCAGTATTATGACCAGACTTATCGGGATTAAATATAGGATTTTCTTGATAAACACGGTGATGGTACGATTAGATTCGGAATTTCTTTCTTTTAAGTATCTGTCTAAGCCCCGAACTTGGCAGATATGACCAAGGAAACTATTGCATTAGCGTTTTATCCGACTATATGCACGCTCTTCTTCTATCAGGACTCCTCCTTAACACTTTTACCACGAACACAAAGGACGGTGAGTGCTTACCACTTGATAGCAGTTTGATAGCAGCATATATGCGCTCATTTGTCATGTGATTTATGACGACTCTATTGATAGGCATATTCTCTGTTACATGGAACGCTTAGCGGACATCCAGGAAATCAACGGAGACTACGGGATAATGCTGTTCTTGGAGGGTAAATTTGTCCCAAATTTTTATTTGATCATGATCTCAGATTAGTTCTTAGGTCGCTTATTGGCATCGCCATCTCACAGTCCAAGGGTAAGTCTGCATGAAGATTTCTTGTAGGAGGTTTGTCTGACTCGACTTAGACTACCTTGTAATCGAAGCCCTTCTGGATATAGTGGGATGGTTGATCCCAATAACGAACCAAACAGAGAAAGGGATGGTGAAGCGGACAGAGTTCATCAACGACCTTTTTGGTTCCGACAAGCACTTCAGCTGTAGTTCAGAATCTAGTCAACACCCTCCAATATATTAGCAGTTCGCACTGGGAGGATACGGTAATGAAGATCATGGATACTTTGGCCAGGAGCGATATCACCTTGTGAGTTTTTCGGTTCGGTAATGCAGACCAGACTAATCCGCTCATTGGATCAGCCCTCAATCATTTGCCTTGGAGGAAGTCGATGTATGCGGCAAATGTTATCCTCAACCGACTGCATTTGACCGTTTGCACTTGGATAGAGAATTTTTCCTTGCCAACGTTGTTGAGCAGGTGATTATATTTATCATGCTGTCGTGGGCCTCGCTGACTATTATTGCCAGGATGATGTCTGCGACAGCTTGAAAATCTCCTATGGTCATATACGCTCTGTCACGATCGACGTGTCGAAGGCGCCACCGCATGGCAAAGTCATTGTTCATGTCGATTTAACAACTCCACCAAGTATTGGAGACGCGTCGTTTGACATCCCGGCAGGTCAGGAGCTTTACTTGAAATTCGAAATTCGACGGGAGGATTTAAGCAGGCTCATGGAGGCTTTACGGAGGCGTGGTATAGTTAGTGCAAGGAGGCCATGGATGAACAATTTCACTAACAGCTTCAAATAGGTCAAGCTCAGTTTCATAGGTGAAAATCCCCAACAACAAGCTAAAAAACGGAGAAGTGTTGGTCTTGCACATAGCATCAGACTTTCGGGCGACTCTTCACCACCACCACAAGGGTCACAGTATGAGGTTGTTACGTTAATCTAATTCTCAATCCTCGTACTAATAATTCTGCACGTTGCAGGATAAAGTTAAACGTGTTCAAAATGGTGAAGTCCCTAGGTCCAGTTCTATATCAATATTGACTTCAGAGCCGACAGTGTACGAAACCAACTTCCCGGATGATGCACGATCTATCACTGCCCACTCTGAGCAAGAATCCATGTCGGCGCAGCATGCGCTACCTCGAATTCCGGCTGACAAGCCTGCGGTTCAGGAGTTCAAAAACAACGCCAGCGCTGAGCGTGCCAAAAAGACTGTCCCCAGACCTCGGCCTGTATTCAAGTCCGCGAAAAAAGTTGCGCCTCTTCCGGTTACTCCGCCTCGCAAAAGTTCTGCAAAAGACGATCCCATTAGTGCAGTACACGTCTCCGTGTTTGGCGAAAGCGATGAAGAGCTCTCCGAAATATCTGACGACGAACTTCTCAAACCTGTCGCCGACGTTCGCCTCATAGTCCATCCAGCACAAATTATCAAAGCCAAACCAGCTACCAGTCTTAGCGCAAAAAGCATCAGTTTCCAACCAGCGCCTCCGACCAAACGCATCGCCAAGCGAAGGTTAATTGTGGAATCCGACGAAGAAGAGATACGAGCTACGCCCAAGGCCGCTCAGAGGGCGACAGTTTCACCAGCTAAGCCAGACATTAACGTAAAGACGGTAACAACAGAACTTAGCAAGACACACCGCATCGATGGCAAATGTTCTTCCACCCTGCGGTCGTCTAGCACTATCGATACAGATCCAAAAGACGTTCCCCTGGAAGTCAAAAGGCCGTGTACACTATCCAACAAAGAGACCAGTCACCCAGGATCCACCAATAATGTCGCCAGAACACATCTCGACGACGATGCCTTCTTGCAGGATGCTTCTGTTCATGATCAAGTGCCACCATGCAAGACTATACCCGACGCGGAACTGACTGCACACGGAATCATACTCACTTCACCTATGAAGAATCTGGCAACAGGTAAAGGAACTATAGGCATGTGCCCCCTTCAAAACTCGCAAATTTAGCCAATATACCAGCGAAGCTGGCAGGCACTCGACGCAAACGGGATGATGCAAATTCCCCCACGAGAGCACCCAAGGTTTCAGAGGACGATCATCCGCCCAAGAAGAAGGCCCGTAACACTGGCGATATCACTATCAAGCGTGCAGCAAGTATACTTCCTGACCCTTTCGAACCGTCAACGATATCGATAACTATCGCGAAGGCTCCCAGGAAGTACGGAAAGAAAGGGAAGGCACTGTCACCTATTCCACCAGAGAACGTAGACTCTGACGAAGTTCCTGGAGCAACTTTGAGAGGGAAGACGAACGCGCGAGCTAAGCCAGTCAGGGCTTCCAAACCGGCCCCGAAGAAGGTTCCAACTCCGATTTCTGGCAGACAAACCCGCGCGGGCGTTATGCGACGCAGGAACGAGAAGCCTAAATTCGAGTCGCCCAAAGAGATCAAACCGAAACTCCAGCCCTCAGAAGCTGACACCGGGATAGTCGCTGCACCAGAACCAGTTGATCAAATTATGAAAGTGGAACCCCTTCATAACGATGCAACCAACACTCCCTCCGTGTCCCTTAAGCCAGAGTCGGCATCAAGAGAGCAAGCCAATAAGGTTTGTCGCTTCTTCCTTTGATCATCCACTCCCCTTATTGCATACAAGATGGACATGGACCGGGCGGGTGCGAGCACCAAGACCAAGACTGGAGACACTAATGCAGTGGTACTAACCAAGGTGTCACTAACGCCCCAAAAACTATCATTTCAGATAATTGAGAAGAAACCATCAACTCCAGAGCGTGCTCATACTCCCAAACCAAAGAGGGCACCTTGGGAGGACCCGATATTCGTTGCACAACACGCCCCGGCCGAGGAAGTGGAGCCTTTGGGGGTCAGCCCCCTAGATGAGGATCCACTAGAGCCAATCCAGGATGTCGCATCGGGAGATATGGCTGAAGCGTTCTTCGGCGATTTTATTGACTATTCAGTATCATTGAAAGGGAGCGAGGATCCTATTCTTGTATGTCACGCTTTTTGTGATATTATGTTAGCTGAGTGTTTCGCAGCCTGCCTCCTCAGATCCCCCTCCGTTACAGTTGACCCCACGTAAACCACCTGTTTGTATCGACCTCACACTGGACCCAACTCCAGTAAAAGATTGCCACAACTCAGCAAAGGACCGTGGCGTGTCCAAGGATGCCGGAATGCTCCCGAGCAAAGTTCCGCATCCCGTAGAGAGCTTTATTGCAGTTCCAGTTGCCTTACACGTCACCGGGCGTCAAGATGGACATGGGACATCTATCGGGGTCCCAAAGCCTTCTGCCGATGTTGCCATGGATGTCGTCATATCCCAAGATCCTTCCGTCCTGCCTATTCCCTCTCATAACGAAGAACGACGAGAGCAACTCGCAGCGTTGAATATTTCCCCCACCCCCATCAGAACAAACGATGCCGAAAGTTCTTCGGCTGAACCTCGTGATATGAGGCCCTCACCTTCCGTTCCGGTTCGTCGGAGGCAATCGGTCGTTTCGTTTGCGTCACCGCTGGTGACCCGGCCCAATTCCGATGATGCTGTCCAGATCCCCACCATGACATATTTGAAGTCTAGTATTCGATCTAACAACCATGGTGCGTTTAGAAACGGTATTTCCGGAACCAACACCCGCCCGCCCAAGGGACCAATTTTGGACCGTGTCGTCTCACTTGTTTCTGATGACGAGTTTGAATCGTCATCTCCTGTGCGGAAGCCGTCCTCCAATCGGGTACGATTTGAAAATGATGGGTTACAATATTCGCTGTCCCCTCTCGCTCTGAAAACGAGTGCCCACCCAGTCAAACAAATGCCTGGTTAGTACAGGGATGCGTGGCATCTTGGAACGTCTGATGCGCTTTTTTTACTAGTTAAAATTTTCCAAGAACAACGTGCAAAGAAGTCGCCAAGGGAGATCAGTCGCCGTAACATCAAGTCCGACGAGAATAATGATATCCAGGACATAGTGGATGTGAGGAAAACCTGCTCGAGTTTTTGCCACATCATTTATTTATTTTGCAGGTACTGAGTGACATCCAGACTGTAAAGCTCCTGATCTTGTGACTTGACATACTCATCGCCTGACTTCTGCTTAGGTTATAGTGAAGGGCATCGCGAACAAGTTCAAAAGCGTCAACAACGAAGTCCGCGCCGGGAGGGAGGAGCTCCTGCGTGACGCAGCTGAAGACTTACACGCGTTGGCAGATGCATAGTCAGTGATTCATTCCAGACACAAGTTGCTGACCAGAGTTCATTCTGCTATGATCAACCAGTGCAACACAATACACCTCGTTCATAGTCCTGGAGGAAAGTTATTCTAAGCACCGCGCGGCTATGACACGTCACTGGGAGGGCGTGATAAAGTCCAGCGAGCAACTTCAAGATAATTTGAAGAAGGCTCTCGAGACACACGACCGCAATGTTTCTTCCAAGACGTTTCCAAAATCACTCTTTCCACCGAACTCCAGATTCTTGAAGCATTAATTTCGTGTATCTTGATGGTCATCGACATGTACTGTAACTACCCGCACCTTGCCAGCAAAGGATTTTCTGTTGTTCAACTACTGTTTGCAAATCGAAGTTCATGATGTGTTTGTCTTGCTTGTGCGGGTCAAGCGACAGCGTGACGCAGACTACATACGAACAAGAAGGACGACTCGCTTGAAACGAATGGTGCTATACTTGCATGTAGTATGTCCAAGACTCCAAAACGGCGAGATTTGAAACGACAACCTCCCTTCACCACAAACGAGTAAATGGAATAGTGCCGTGATCCATAAATCGGAAGCAACCGGCGCTATTTTGCTTCGTTTATTTCGTAAACGTAAGAAATTTGTGCTCTATAAAGCTCGTGAGTAGACACTGGACAAATCATTCAAGTTCATCGGACAAATCGGCACGGAAAGTCAAAGTCACGCATGAAGGTCATTTGACACGTCATCTGATTCGACAATCGATTTATGGCGTCAATTTTTGGAAGCCTGCGTGCAGCCTTACCCCGCATTCAGTCTCGCCGCAACATACCATATGTGTCCCGGATCCTATTCACTGCTCGTAATCAGCTTCTACAATCATCTCAAATTCTACCAACAAGATATTGTTCAACAACTTCCGTGATCACTATGACCACTGGCCTCGCGAGCACACCAACCGACTCGGCTGACTTCCGTCTTCCCCTGGATGTCAAGCCAACGCATTATGATGTGACTATAAAGACTGACCTGGAGAACTCAATATTCGAAGGCGTGGTAAAGATTGAGTACGTCCGTGCACACTGTCCTTCAAAACATCATTGACCAATTTCATCAGCCTTGATGTCAAGAACGAAACATCTACCATCGTCTTCAACTCAGCCGATCTGAAGTTGAACGATGCGGCATTATATTCCGATCAACTCAAGATAAAGCAGGTCGATCCTTCTCCGTCTTTCGATGACAAGGCGGAACGTTGTATACTTTCCTTTTCGACCCCTGTGCCCGCCGGATCAAAGGCAACACTGTCCATTGGCTTCTCCGGAGAACTGACCGGAGCCATGATGGGGTATTACAAGAGCTCGTTCGAGCAAGATGGAACAAAGAAGTACTATACACTGACCCAGTTCGAAGTGTGTATTCGATCTCACTAACTGCACCTGCACTTACGGATTGTCGCTAGCCCACCGCCGCGAGACGTGCCTTCCCGTGTTGGGATGAACCGCTTCTCAAGGCCACCTTTGCGGTCACTATGATATCACATCCTGACACGGTCAATCTCAGCAACATGCCTATTACATCGGAGGAAATTTACCAACCCCAAACGACCAAAGTAGAGGATCCCTCATTAGAGGCGCTCTTTTCGGCGTTGACGACTCAAGATAGCCCCGAAGCGCAGTGGAAGATTTCCAAGTTCCAGACTACACCACCAGTATGTCGACGTCGTCTAACCGGGTTTTTAAACTAAAAATTAGTCTACAGATGTCTACTTATCTGGTTGCATATGCCAATGGACGTTTTGCACACCTGGAAAGCTCTTATAAGAGTCCTCTTAGTGGGAAAACCCGTCCCTTGCGCATCTACTGTAGGGACCCGTCCCCACAGTATTCTGGGTGCAGGCTGATGTGATTTGGATAGCTACTCCTGATGTGATACATCAGGCTCAGTATGCCCTCGATATCAAAGCAAAAGTTCTCCCAATCTATGAGGAGATTTTTGATATCGAATACCCTCTCCCTAAGCTGGATACTCTAGTGGTAAGTGTCCTGTGTAGAATCCCCTTCAGTCCGTTGATGATCGGTGGCCTGAAGGCTCATGATTTTGACGCAGGTGCTATGGAGAACTGGGTATGAACTATCGATTTCTACGTGCTTGAGTACTCACTTCTAGCAAGGGCCTCATCACTGGACGTACTAGCGCCTTCCTGCTTGACCCTAAGACCGCAGACGTGGCTGCAAAGAAACGTGTCACCGTCTTTCAGTCGCACGAAATCGCCCACATGTGGTAAGTTCATCTCCATTGTTCGAAGGATATGTCGCGGAAACTTCTACTCAGGTTTGGTGATATCACAACCATGGAATGGTGGGACTATCTGTACTTAAACGAAGGTCAGTCTCTTGCCATAATTTTGATATTGGTATTGAAATGTATTTAAGGTTTTGCAACCCTGGTAAGCTTAGCGGACATAAGCGTGTAAATCATCTGTTGAGATTACCCGCTCCAAGATGGGTGAAGTTATCATTGTTGGTATGTCTCATGTCCATGCACTCACTGAACTCATTGACACCAATCTTTAGATCGGTAAGCCGATGCACTCCATTCTCAATATAACCATAACACCTTTTACCAGTGTGTACCCGGAATGGAAGGTCGACAGCTCATTCATATCCGAGCATTTGAATGATGCGCTGGATCTTGATGCCAAATTATCTTCTCATCCGATCGAAGTGCATTGTCCTGATGCCAATCAGATTAACCAGGTATGACTAGATTGGCATACCACATGGAGTGCGGCCATCTCATACAAGTGACCGTCAGATTTTCGACTCCCTTTCCTATGCCAAAGCAGGCTCTGGTAGGGCATTCAATTTGTCTTGTCACCACCCCATCTCACAAGCGACACTTTCAAGTTTTGCGCATGCTATCCAACTTTGTTGGCGAGGAGCGCTTCTTGAAGGGTGTTTCAATCTACCTCAAGAAGCATCTATATGGAAACACTGTCACCAAAGACCTGTGGCAGGGCATCTCAGAGTCCACTGGGGTAGATGTGCCGAGGATCATGGATAACTGGATTTCAAAGGCAAGCATGACAGTTTGATCCACACTCCACTCTAACACGTGTTGTCTCAGATCGGCTTCCCTGTCATCACTGTCACTGAGGGTAAAAATGGTATCCATGTCCGCCAGGATCGTTTCCTGGAGTCTGGACCTGCAGAAGAAAAGGACAATGAGACGATATGGAACGTGCCTTTGGCCCTGCTGACAGCTACTAACGATAAAGTCAACATTGATAAGTCCGTCGTTCTTGACACTAGGGAGAAAACACTCGCCATTGATACCTCGAAGCCTTTCAAGCTCAACGCGGGGACTTATGGTGTTTGTAAGTCTGTTTTCTGGTTGATAGCGTTTGTATTCATGGATGATTATAGACCGCGTGTTGTACTCTGATGAGAGGTTCGCAGCGATTGCTAAGGAGGCTGCCAAGGGCGATACTGTGTTCTCGCTGAATGATCGCATTGGCCTTGTGCACGATATCATGACATTGTCCAAGGCTGGGTTTTGTAAAGTTAGCAGTGCGTTGACCATCGTCGACATTTTACATGACGAAACGGAGTGTAAGTGTCCTACATTTCAATTGGGCACGAGTTTGATGAACTTATTGGATATAACATCTTCCAGTCCTTGTATGGGACAGTATTGCTCGGAATATCACCACTTTGGTGTCAACTTGGTGGGAGCACGAGGTTATCGTCAACGATCTAAATGTTTTCCGCCGGGTGGGTTGATCATTTCAAATATCTGTTTTGGGTGCTGACTCAGGTTGTACTTATAGGAATTGTTTGCGCCCATCGTCAAACGCCTTGGCTATGAATACTCTCCTTCCGAGTCTGTGGATATCTCACAACTGCGCACCCGCGCTATCGGACAGGCGGCTGTCGCTGGGGATCCTGCGTACGTATCTGTTGAATATTGATCTAGGTGAAATTTAACGAAGTCGCAGTGTCGTGGAAGAGCTCAAGACCTGGTTTGCGGAATATATGAGAACGCAGGATGATTCGGCGATACCTGGCGATTTGTTCAGGACGACTATTCTCACTGTGCGTCAGACGTTGAGCGACGTTGCGCCTATGCTGAGCGTTATCTGCAGGCTGTGAAACATGGAGGTCGCGAAGAGTATGAGTTTGCTAAGGCATTGTATGAGAACCCAACTACGCCTCCGTCGAGAAGTATCTCTGCCATGTAAGTGAAACCTGCTTTGTAAAGTTTGTCTATTTTTGATACATCTGTCAGAGTGGCGATGTGCGCCAGCCAAGACGAGGCTTGTATCGAGGACACGTACACGTACATCATGTCAAAAGCGCGGACTCAAGATATTATATATTTCATCAACGGCTTCCAGACGAACTTCCGCACCAGGCGCAGCTGTGCGCAGTTCTTCCAAGACAATTACGTGGAGGTGAGCTGTCAGTTGAGACGCCGAGGAGTCCCACGCCGAACATGACCATTTGACAGTTGGCTAAGCGGTTCGAGGGGAACTTTTCGTTCAAGTATATTGTTTCGGTATGTTTCGATTTGTTGTTCTGTTGTGACAGGCAGGGCTTAGCGTACATCAGGCAACTTTTGAGAATTTGACCAAGGAGGAAGACTACCAGAGGACCGTAGACTTTTTCAAGGTAGTGGTGAATTTAAACATAAAGGAACGAGCTAATGGCATGCGGTGATTAGGACAAGGACATATCCCGGTATAACCTTGCCTTGTCGCAGACTCTAGAGTCGTTGCGTGCCTCAAGGGCGTGGATCGAGGTGAGAGAACTTGATGAAATGTGAGAAAGCTGACTGATGCTATGTGATATAGCGGTCCACGACTGATATTGCGGAATGGCTTGGCAAATGGAAAGGGGATCGCTGAACAGTTCACCGCCGAGAAGTTCACTGCCTATGCGTGAGACTGCAGCGAGCAAGGAGGATAGTTAGTTACGTAACTCAATGCCATGACTTTGTGTTCGTAAAAAGTTGTGTACTGCAAAGACGCCGAGCTCGCCACCATCAACGTTGACGAACGGCTTTTTGCTATAGCCTACCCGGTCATAATTAGCCATGCCAGCGTTTGATCCAGTACGAGATGCTGTCATGAATTCACCAGTCACTCAGCCACAATCACTTCCAAATCACAGTGATTATGGTCCACTCGAAATACCGTCCCCATCATCCTCACGTCCTTCATCATCGCACGCGACGTCTAGCCCTTCCTTGACACGTAGGGCAACAGATCTGGCTTCATTATTAAACTCTGAACCGCACGAACCAAGAACTCCAAGCTCTGCACGACCTTCAAGTCTCTCCCATCTATTACTTTCTGATGACTTTGAATCAGAAAAGCTGAACTCTGCACCGTCATTGGGACGGAGATTGCCCACGGCCATCGACATCCCCCGTGAACAAGATTTCTCGTTCTCACGGCAGCACCCTTCACGTTCTTCACTCTCACTCAACTCATCTTCCCCCTTTCTTTCTGATGTACCTTCATCGTCCTCTCGTACTCTTCCAACATCCCCCTTGACTCGCTCCCCAATGGCACCAACACCATTCGAAATAACGCCCCCCACGACGGCGACACCAACAACGATGCGCCAGACGCTGCCCTACAGCCCACGACAGCGCTTGACTCCCGCAGGCTCTGTCCTCGCTCCCATGACACAGGATGAAATACAGCTCTACAAAAATTACCGCGGTATCGGTACCCAACGTCTCATAAACAAACGCAAGAGAGTCCAAAGTAGAGAACCCGACGACTATCAAGAACGTCCAGCCAAGAGACACGCTGGCGACGTCGAAATGGTCGTTGATCACTGTAAGCGTCTTCCCGCCGCTTAACCTACTATTAACGCCGTCTTCCCAGACAATTTGCGTCCAGAAGTAGGCGTAAAACAGCGCAAAGAGTCTCCTATCATCGGCCTCAAGAATTTCAACAACTGGGTGAAATCGGTCCTGATTACGCAATTCGGGCATCCAGCTCTCGCCTCTAATTCATCCAAAAAACGCGGAAAAGTCCTTGATATGGGCTGCGGCAAAGGTGGTGACCTCATCAAATGGGGGAAGGCTCGAATTCGAGAGATGTTGGCTGTTGGTGAGATCTTCTGCTTTAGTTCGCGCAGCCCGATCTGATCCATCTTCGATAGACATCGCACACGTGTCTGTTGAACAGGCTCGACACCGGTGGGCCACTATGCGTCCGCGGCGTTTTGACGCCTCGTTCGCTGCGTTGGATTGCTATACAGAACCACTTACAAAGGTCTTTACGCCCGAGCAGCTCGCACAGCCATTCGACGTTGTATCCATGCAGTTCTGCATGCATTATGCGTTTGAAACGGCGCAAAAAGCTCGATGCATGCTCCAGAACGTCAGCGAATGGTTAAGACCAGGAGGGATATTTCTCGGGACGGTTCCAAACGCCGACCAGCTCCTGTATGTCCATTTAAACCCAGATTCCTTCTCACGTCCGTGTTGCTGACTTTATCGCGTCGATAGCGCGCGACTGGACCAACTACCAGCTGACTCTGAAGATCTTTCATTTGGAAATTCGGTGTACAAGATCCGGTTTGAAGAACGCACCTCTCGCCCGCTGTTTGGCCACCGATACTACTTCTATCTCCGTGACGCTGTTGATAACGTGCCAGAGTACATTGTTGAATGGGACAATTTTGTTCAGTGGGTCTTTGTGTCATTTTGACATGCCCCACGTGGTACTGACATGAGTTTGTGTAGGATGGCCGCGCAGTATGGACTTCACCCCGTATTCAAGAAGGAGTTCCATGAAGTGTTTGAAGAAAACAGGGAGCATGAGGATTTCAAGCAGTTGATGGTCCGCATGAATGTATGCGACGCGACCGGCGCCAGCTCGATGGAGGATGAAGAGTGGGAGGCAGTCAGTAAGTTCCGCCTTTTCAGTGTAATCTGTGACATTGCTAATAGAATACATTTTATCCTTTAGACATTTATATCGCATTTGCCTTTGAGAAGAGGTGATGGTTTCATGATCTATGTCTTGTCTTTTGTGATATTTTATACATCCCTTTGGCTGTCTGCTAGCCCATACCCACAGCTTATGTAATACGATCACTGATGATATATTGATAATTTCCACACACAACGCCCAATTGCAATGTACAGACATTACATAAAATGGGTGCTCTGTACAGGCGGCATATAGACATCGTCGAGACGGACTAACGAACAGCAAGGAATAATGTGTCCCACTAAGATTACAAAAAGATAGCGTGACGTCGATTGTATGAATAAAAGCGAAAGTCGTCGTCGTACATAAAATTATTCTTGACCAAATCCAACAGTTTCCCTGGTTAAAGAATTTAGCGTGAGCTGACATGCGAGTTAGGAAAAGGACTCACTCTACAGCAAGCGTGAGTTTCTGCTCCAAGCTAGCATAATCTTTGTATGGTGGAAGATCAATACGATTGAAGCAGGTGTGACTCTTCGGTAGTTGTGAAGGGTCACCAGACTTTTCTATGGTAAAGCGGCGGGGTCCATCCGAGCCCTGAAGGTCCTTGAAACCATTGACGGGAATCCTAGATGTCCCCGTAGCGAACTGAAGCAAGCGGGACTTGCGCTCAGGTGGCCAGCTGCGAATGCACTTCCAGAACCACTGTATGACCTCATCATTCATCTCATACCCGCGGTAGTCGGTGTGCTTAGTCCAGTCATCTCTGCAATGTCATTCAGCCAAACAGCCTCACGACTTCAATTAAGAAACGTACACGTCAATTTCCGACATACCACCGATCAGGAGCTCCAGTTCGCGTTCGTCGAAAACAGTGATGAGGTCCTGTGGAATCAACTCGCTGAAGCCCGACATGAACGAATCAAATTGTTCCTTGACACGTTTGGAGATCCGATACTCGACAACAGCGTCCACGTATTCCTTCTTGTTATCCTGAGTCACGTTGACATCTGCCCCCCCTGGACGAAGTTCAATGTTGACCAGTTCACCGAAGCGTTCCTCTGTCGTTGTGAAGGTCTCATCGATCACATCCGTGATGTCATTCTCCCTGAACAAGGGTTGGGAGAAATCATGGCAAAAAGTGGCAAAGCACTTACAACATCCAAGTCAATCCACGGTGCAACTCAGCATCGACAGATTCAAGGTCCGCCAACGTCACCTTCTTCTTCAAAATCATCTTGTAGAAGCTGACAATGAAGTATGCATCGAGGAAACGACGGTGGAATATTCCAAGACCGAGACAGCGACCGATGAACTTGAAGTAGTTCAAGTGCTCCGGGTTGACGCCTGAAGCGGGATTAATTTGAAGCGTATAGTTGTCGTGGGCTGAGTATTCGAATAGACAGTAAAATGGGTTGAACATTTCGTGCGACAGAAGGAAGAAGAACTCTCTGCAAAGGAACTCAGTAAACGTATAACTCTGATAACTCAGTCCAACTTACCGCGATAAACCACCGTAATCGAGGCCGTCCTCTCCATCAAACTTGATCATGAGTCGTTTCTTCAAATCATTGGGAGTCTGCCTCATGATCTCTGCATAACTATCCTCGAATATATGGTTCCGCCGCACTTTGATCTGGCAGTTACCCGGCTGTGCACGCATAGCAGGTTGGCTTCGGAAGTAAATAAGCTTCCTCCTAAAGTCACGCTTGTACTGTGGAACGTTGGCATCAAGCGTGGATGGCATGCGGGGATCGTCCCACGTGGTCGTCTTCGTGTTGTGATCTACGAAATAAACACGCGCGGTAGATGTGAGGCGCATCTCCCAACCAGAGGGTAATGGACCAAGCTGGGATATGGTCTGAGACTGTGGAGATGTGTTCTGTCCATTAGGGCCCATGACACGGATGACAGTCTGGCGCCGGGGATCGACCCAGGTGGTAGTACGCGTGTTATGATCCACATAATAGGGTCGTCCTTCTGGAGTGTAGCGCTCCTCCCAGCCGGCTGGGAGACTCCCAGTCCCAGCTGTGGTAGCACCTCCGCCCGAACCCACGACTGCCGGTGGAACGTTGGGCGATGGGGATGGTGCTGACAGTGACGAGTTGCGGTACGTGTTGGCACCCGCAGCACCCGTGCTGGCAGCATCGACCATGTCGTCGGCGAGTATGCGGCGGGAGTGCTGATCTCTCGCAGCATTTGTTTCACTATCCTGGTTATTGTGGTTCACAGTTTGGTTGGATGATGGTCGGTTCCAAGTTGTTGTCCTGGTATTGTGATCAACATAATATGTCCGACCAAGTGGATCGATGCGACGCTCCCATCCGGGAGGTAATGGTCCATATTGGTCAACATTGGGGTTGAAATTCCTCTGCTGTGCATTAGTAACCGCTTGTCCCGGAGACGTGGTCGAGGAAGGTGCTACAGATGGGGGAGCAGCGTGCCCACCACCTGAGCTGATAGGACGACCCGATGGAGACTGTGAAGACGACTGTTCCGCCTCAGCGCTAGTCACCGAAGGTGGTATGTGGGGCGTGGGCATCTGCATCAACGGTGCTGCGGCGGGCTCAGTAGCAGTGGCGTGTGAACTGGGTGGGCGAGACAAAGTATTACCTGTTGCTGGGGCGGCGTTGGGTGATAAAGAGAGACTTGATTCATTCATTCCCATGTCGGCCAATGCAGAGGTAACGCCTTGTACTTGAGAGGGTCCAGGGTTGCTCATGGGCTGGTTTACATTTGTTGACAGGTATATGATGAGCTTGCCATGGACCACGAGGTTATCATTGGACTTTTTTAGATCCAACGTCAGCATCTCTATCAAATTGGATAAGATTCGAATCAAAGTGCGTGTAAGGGTGATTTGACGATGGGCGCTTACCATGACCACCTAGTTCAAGATCGAGCACATCGCTAACTTTCACGTTGACCACGCCCAAAAATCCTTGGTCACGCCT